GGAACCATATTGATGCCGAGCTTAGTGCGGACACCCGATCCACATAGAGAGACACCCAACAGGACTCCCGTCCGCAAGCCGTCCACCAACCTAGGCCTCTGAATAGCCAGATTACAGGAGTGCGCTACCACTCCCAGCCGGTAGAGGGAGAACGAAGGGATGTATTTAACCCTGGTGAAGTCTCCAGCGAATTAAATGATAAACGTCACATCCGAGATTGTCTTAGATGTCATTTAATGATAAACTTCAGCTCCAAGTGCGTGCAGTTGATGAACGATGATAACTGTGAAGAGCACGCTATTTGTGCATTTATGTTATAATATTTGCAACTTATGTGATAAAATTTTCTATTTGAATTGTATGCCACAATTTGACTACCATTTGTTTTAATGTGCCTCAGTGAATTTTATTTCTAGGTTTCAAATTTCAGCAAATAAAAATAAAGAAATTTACATGCCATATGTACTTAACTAATATTCCGTTCGATTAATACGTCATGATATGCCGCCTAGGTCTTTCAGAAATCTTGAATCATGGTTTTCTGGATATGCAGTTTTTAAAATGTTTTTTCCTATAGATATGCAGTGCAATCCTTTATCCTCTAGTAACATAACAGAGACAGGAAGTCATGGCTGTTTTCAGCGAGAAATTCCGTTTTTCAAATCTATGTGTGGCTGACCGAAAAATTTCCCCCAAAAAACGAAATTTGATGAAAAGTGAGAACGAATTCAAATTATAAACGTTTGCATTTGATTTTTATTCTCAAATAATAGAAAAAATCGAGATTTGAAAAAAAAATTACCAATATAATTGATTAATCGCGTTCTGGTTAACTATAGGGGGTCTATGATAAATTGAAATATGGAAGGATGATATAAAAAGATTGGGTCCAAATGTCTAGGTCGGGCTGCTGAATGTTCTCTATTCACGGGGGCGATCCCACCATACTGCTCAACACGAGACCTTTTGGCTGCTGCATTTCTGCTCTGGCCCGGTACGGTCTTCCTTAGTCAACCTGGGCCCCCAGACCTCCGCCCAGGGAACCATATTGATGCCGAGCTTAGTGTGGACACCCGATCCACATAGAGAGACACCCAACAGGACTCCCGTCCGCAAGCCATCCACCAACCTAGGCCTCTGAATAGCCAGATTACAGGAGTGCGCTACCACTCCCAGCCGGCAGAAGGAGAAACCAGGGATATATTTAACCCTGGTGAAGTCCCCGGCAAATTAAATGATAAACGTCACATCCGAGATTGTCTTAGATGTCATTTAATGATAAACTTCAGCTCCAAGTGCGTGCAGTTGATGAACGATGATAACTGTGAAGAGCACGCTATTTGTGCATTTATGTTATAATATTTGCAACTTATGTGATAAAATTTTCTATTTGAATTGTATGCCACAATTTGACTACCATTTGTTTTAATGTGCCTCAGTGAATTTTATTTCTAGGTTTCAAATTTCAGCAAATAAAAATAAAGAAATTTACATGCCATATGTACTTAACTAATATTCCGTTCGATTAATACGTCATGATATGCCGCCTAGGTCTTTCAGAAATCTTGAATCATGGTTTTCTGGATATGCAGTTTTTAAAATGTTTTTTCCTATAGATATGCAGTGCAATCCTTTATCCTCTAGTAACATAACAGAGACAGGAAGTCATGGCTGTTTTCAGCGAGAAATTCCGTTTTTCAAATCTATGTGTGGCTGACCGAAAAATTTCCCCAAAAAACGAAATTTGATGAAAAGTGAGAACGAATTCAAATTATAAACGTTTTATTCTCAAATAATAGAAAAAATCGAGATTTGAAAAAAAAAATATGAATAAAATCGATTAATCGCGTTCTGGTTAACTGGTTATCTATAAGGGTTTATGATAAATTGAAATATGGAAGGATGATATAAAAAGATTGGGTCCAACTGTCTAGGTCGGGCTGCTGGATGTTCTCTATTCACGGGCGCGATCCCACCATACTGCTCAACACGAGACCTTTTGGCTGCTGCATTTCTGCTCTGGCCCGGTACGGTCTTCCTTAGTCAACCTGGGCCCCCAGACCTCCGCCCAGGGAACCATATTGATGCCGAGCTTAGTGCGGACACCCGATCCACATAGAGAGACACCCAACAGGACTCCCGTCCGCAAACCGTCCACCAACCTAGGCCTCTGAATAGCCAGATTACAGGAGTGCGCTACCACTCCCAGCCGGTAGAGGGAGAACGAAGGGATGTATTTAACCCTGGTGAAGTCTCCAGCGAATTAAATGATAAACGTCACATCTGAGATTGTCTTAGATGTCATTTGATGATAAACATCAGCTCCAAGTGCGTGCAGTTGATGAACGATGAGAACTGTGAAGAGCACGCAATTTTGTGCATTGTGATGATTTTGCCATTCCATTCGTATGCCTCAATTTGACCACCATTTGTTTCAAAGTGCCATATTGTATATTATTTTCTGGGTTTCAGATTAAAGCAAATTTCACAAAATAATCTCACAAAATAAAAAGATTCACATATGCAGTAATATTACAATAAGTTCTATTTAGATGTCATGGTATCTAAGGTCTGTTTCAAAAATCTTGAATTTTCTTTTCTTTTTCTCTTTTTACTGGATATGCAAATTTTAAAGATGTTTTTGTTGTGGTGTGCAGTGCAATCCTTTCTTCTCCAGCGAAATAACAGAGGCAGGAATACATGTTTGTTTTCAGATTCGTGTATGGCTAACCGACAAAATAGTAAAAAGTTAATATGATATTAACAGAGCGCTGTAAAAAAGAGAACAAAATCTACCTATAAACCTTTTTGTTAATAACAGAAACGCTTTCGTTCTATTTTTCCTCTTGCAGTTGTGAAAAAAATAGATAAAAAGAAACTCGAATTATAGTGTAAAAAATTTACTGGTAAACTGTATAAATCTATGATACAATTTCGAATATTAAAATGATATTGAAAGGGAGAAAAAGATTGGGTCCAACTGTCTAGGTCGGGCTGCTGGATGTTCTCTATTCACGGGCGCGATCCCACCATACTGCTCAACACGAGACGTTTTGGCTGCTGCATTTCTGCTCTGGCCCGGTACGGTCTTCCTTAGTCAACCTGGGCCCCCAGACCTCCGCCCAGGGAACCATATTGATGCCGAGCTTAGTGCGGACACCCGATCCACATAGAGAGACACCCAACAGGACTCCCGTCCGCAAGCCGTCCACCAACCTAGGCCTCTGAATAGCCAGATTACAGGAGCGCGCTACCACTCCCAGCCGGTATAGTGAGAACGAAGGGATGTATTTAACCCTGGTGAAGTCTCCGGCGAATTAAATGATAAACGTCACATCCGAGATCGCCTTAGATGTCATTTGATGATAAACATCAGCTCCAACTGCGTGCAGTTGATGAACGATGATAACTGTGAAGAGCACGCTATTTGTGCATTTATGTGATAATATTTGTCATGAGATTCGTATGCCGCTATTTGACTTCCATTTATTTGATATTTTATTTTCTAGGTTCCACATTGCCATAAATTTCTCAGAATTGAAAAAAAAAAGAAGAAGAAAAGACACATCCTATTTTAGTCATTTTCCAATTCGTTCAATTTAATCTTTATGATATGTCGCCCTGGTGTCACTCAAAAATCTCGCGTTGTTTGATTTTCTTTTTCTATTTGCTGGATATATGCAGTTTTCATATTAAAGATATTTTTGCTGTGGATATTCAGTGCAATCCGTTCTCCTCTAGCGACATGACAGAGGCAGTTTTTAGCGCGAAATTCCACTTTTCTGATCCTTGTGTAGCTAACAGTAAAATTCCTCCAAAAATAAAATTTGAAATAAAGTGAGAACGAATTCTACCGATAATCCTTTTGAGAATAACAGAAACGTTTTTTTTTATATTCTCTCTTATAAACAAAAACAAAATGTAAAAAAAGCAATGCCAAGAATATCGATAAAGTGTGTAAGAATTTACTGGTTAACTACAAACATCTATGATAAATTTCACAATGAAATTTGAAATAAAGTTTTGTATAAAAGATTGGGTCCAACTGTCTAGGTCGGGTTGTTGGATGTTCTCTATTCACGGGCGCGATCCCACCATACTGCTCAACACGAGACCTTTTGGTTGCTGCATTTCTGCTCTGGCCCGGTACGGTCTTCCTTAGTCAACCTGGGCCCCCAGACCTCTGCCCAGGGAACCATACATTAAATGTCATGCCCCGCGAAAGGGTTCTTTTTGTTCAAAACATCAACTGGTGGGAACCAAATGCGCAATTTGTTATGCAGGCCTTTTGAGATTTAAAAAAAAAAGAAAAAAAAAAGAAATTAGTGACCGGAAAAAAGAGCTTGTTTCTACATTGTATATATTATCAAAATTGCGTGACAAGCACGTGTAATATAGCAGAATTATTTAGATGAGTTGCCGATAACGGCTGAGTGCTATATATATATAGCACGGAGAGAAAGCACAAAATATCCGTTCAATTATCATTTTTCAGGAAATATGAAATGTTGCCCATTGCCATTGGTTTTCCATTGGTTTTGTGGCAAATTTTAACATAATGCATCTTTATTGTTCAAACATTTATCATTGCGCCTATGTCATATAACACGTACGTGATTAAATTTGCTATAGCCATGTTAAAAAAAAATAAGACTTGAAGCTTGGCGTCGAAAACAGACATGACTGTGCACGGAATGGGCGAGTTGTTGCTAGTTGAAGATATTGTGATAGAGAAGTTTACAATCACAGCCAAAACAATCTCACCCAAGTGGAAATTGTCATGATCGATAAAGTATTTTTATAGTTGGCGATTGGGATATTTTCTGGATGTACAGCCCTTTTTGATGAAATTTTGGAGCTATTACTATTTATAATATAGACGTTATGTGAACATGGTATCATACAATCATACATGGAATGTGTTAAAAAGAACTCTGAACAACAGGAAGTTATCGACTAGTCTTGCCTGCGTCGCCATGTGCCAGCTTCCGGCCCCTAGCAACAAGCGCCATATCAAAATACTTTATTGCCTGGCCAGTCAACAAGCACGATACTTGGTTATATTACCTGGAATATTTTCTAATTTTGAGGTGAGAGAAAATTTACCAACGTTTATATTTTCTATATCACTAGGGGAGTAAATTGCTGTACATTTGTAAAGAAAACAAGCATCTGCCGACGTTTACAAATCAAAGGACGGGCACCTTGCAACAACGTGTAAGTTGCAATGCAAATTACAGCGTACAATGTGGATGGAGTTTTGGTCCATCTTATTATTATGTTTTCACGTATTTACAAAACGTGCTCAGCCCTCAGTTGGACACAATATAGTGCAGAATTGGATTCCTAGGGGCTGATATACTGGTAGAATTACTGTTTGGGATGCAACGATTCTGCATAGCACTTTTACATGTACAGTGCACATAGATCTAGCTGCCAGTGTATGGTTTTTAAGTCAGAGAATGCAAACAAGGCATCAGTTAAAAATATATCATTGTAGCTAATCACAGTTTGCTGTATGCACGTTTAGTACTGTATTATCAGAAATGATATGTTAACACTTGAAGATCATGTACAGTAGATTTTACATGTACATTGCATTAATGTTATACATGTGTGCTTATTTAATTATATTAATTGAAAATAACATTAATCTGTTTTACAGAAATAACTAAAGATGGGTCAGGCCTTGCGCAAGGCTAAAGAAGGGACCTCAGCAGCAGGAGGGGCAAGGGGAAAACTGGAATACAACGCTGCTAATGAAGAGCTGCTGAACAGCGTTGTGAAATACGTGGAAAATATCAAAGATCCAGAGGAACAGAAACTCATCTTCAAGAAGCCAATCAAGTGGGAAAGCAGCCTCCAGCCTTCTGATTTTAATGACGATGCTTACGAGAAAAGGTAACTGCATTAACAGCCAGGGGCTTATTTCATAAGAAGTCAATATAGTTTAGACTGCTAAATGGTTGATTGCAGTTGATGTTCCTGAATGAACTGTTTTTATCATCAAGAGTAAAAATAATTGCCTTGTCACACTTGGTCCATAAAAAAGTTTTTTAAAAAGGTGCTTAAATTCTTTGAAAAATTTTGCTTGGTGGGCTGAAATTGTTAACAGCAGCTAGACTGCTCTAATACCGATGATTGATTTTATACATTTCAGTGTATATCTGTATATATAAAACAGTTTGTAATTAAAGAGATTGGATATTATATAGCATTACTTCAGTGGCATATTTGTCTACTGTACAGCTCATATTTTTATGCTCCATTTTTTCCAGTGGTGTTGAGTTGGTGTCAAAAGAAAGGACAGCTGATGACCAGCCATTATTGCGCGTGCGACCGCGAGGAGAGAAATATGAGGTCAGCGCGATGACTATTGAACAAATTCAGATGGTCCTGAGAATGGCAGGAGATAAGAAACTAGCAGAGACCAGGGCTTGCTGCGAAGGTAAGGGTTTAATACCTAGAAAATGAAGCAAGTCAAAACTATTTCTTAGTCATTGTAGTATTTTTAAGTTCATTACTCCATTTAAATTATCCTATTACCTTTTTTTTTCTCTCTTTTATGTATCTAATTTTTTATTTTACTGTAATTTTCAGATTCTAAAGCTTTAAATAATTATTGTTTTTTTAATGCATTATTATTATTATTATTATATATGTGTATTTCATAGCCACTGATGATCCTTATTCTGACATGTTGGGAGATGCCTTTGCTATTGTACCTGGGAACGTAGAAGGTGGCGAATACGACAAGTCTCGCTACAGGTTGATGGAGGAAATCATGAAAGGTGGACCTGAGGAAGAGGTGGCAGAGAAGAAAACCACACTAAAGCTTCTGGATCATTTGTTTAGATTTGACAATGAACTTCTTAACAGGAGATTACAGATTATGGAAAAGTTAGTTTTTATTTTTTTTTTAAAGAAAATGTGCTCCCTTATTAAAAAAAGGAAAGGTTTTTTTTAAAAGAAAAGATGCTGGAACTAACTTGGTTAAGATAAAGTCAATCATTAGAATACTAGGCATTTTTAAACATTTTGTATAGGTGAAAAGATTTTATTGCCAATGATTTTACAAAATAATTTAGATTGTTCATTTGTATTGTGTATATTGAATAATATAACTGTGTGTTGTTTTACTTGGACTATTACAGGACTATCCGCCTGAATCCATCAGAGGTTGAAGACGATGTTCATAAACTGATGAAGTATTGTGGAGAAGATGATGAAAAATGTCTTCTGGAGGAGCTCAACTTTATGCCTGGTAAGAAAATTCTTATTCATAATTAATAAGTATAACTACCCCCATGTCAAAAACCAGTTTTTAAATTTTGTTAAGTCATTCTCTGTGCTGCCACAGGAAAATGGAATAAATTGGACACATTGTGATATTGAATTTTGATTAATCAGGTACACAAGGAACCAATTTTACTGTGGTGCTGCATACACACACCTTAAAAGATGTTTCACAGTAGCAGAACTTAGAAATTTAGTTAGATTACCTAACATGAATACATTTATAATAAATATATAATAAATGTAATGCATTAAGGTAATGTTATCTATGTGAAAATTAGAATTTCTTTATTCATCACAGAAGGTGAAAAAATATGTTTGGAAGATTAGTATTATAGATGGTAACACTGCTATGATTTGGATTGCAGAATTCAGCACGCGTTTCTCCAATGGCTGCCGTGCCCCTCCCTGGCGTCAAGTTCACGGAGATATCTGCTACTTGGAGGCTAAGGCCCATGATGTAGACCCATACATCTATATTACAGGAAGCACCAGTGGTTACTACATTAATGGGGTAAGCTCCTTAGGTTTAACCTTTTTAAATTAAGAAATAAGAATTACATGTATACATGAATTGTACATTATAAATTAGAAATAACAGTCTCTAAATAGATGTTAAGTTTTTAGTTTTCAAAAAAGATTTCCTCTTGTCAATATGAAAAATCAGTAGGGATGACTTTTTCAAGTTTATTTTTATGAAAAGATAATATCACAAAAGATACAAGGAAACCATTATGTATTGGTTTTACAGGGTGTGGACAAGGAGACACAAAGTCTTAACTTTGACAAGCAGGGAGAAATGCACAAAGATTTAATAAGCCTGCTCAAAGAGAAGAGCCCCAAGTTTGCGGAAATTGTTGACAAGCTGGTGGGTAAAATATTGCTTTCTTCATATTGATTTTAAAAACTGAAATTTCAACACCCTAGAATTGCACAGTACAGCATAAAAAAATTCTCTTAGTGAAATTGCACAAATGTAGGCAAAGTGAAATATTTGTGTGAAGGATTTTTTAAAAATAATGTTTTATATCACAGAAAACACTGAACAGAAAAAATGTTAACCGCAAAATATGGAGCTATTATTTATATTATGTATCTAAAATGTAAATATTTATGATAGATATATGGTTTAATACTTTTTATAGTTGAAATATCATTGTTGTTTAGTTTAAAATTGGTTATTTTCATTTTGTAATTCAGGAATTTGTAAGTCATCATGACTTGAAGGAGAGTGGAATAATTGACACCACGGCAGATCTGGACGCCACACCTCGGGATGGAGAGATGACCAACAGAGAACAGACACAGGTCAAAAGTCAACAACAAAAAGAAGAAACTAAGCAGGAAAAGACACAGAAAACTCAGAAAAAACAACAGCAGAAGTTGGAGCCTTCATTAAAGTGGAGGAACCTGGGTCTAGAGGAGCAAAAAGAGCAGTAAGCAGACTTTTTTTCCTGGCATTGCTATATGCAACTGTTTAGAAGTATTATTGGTGTTGTTCCCGAATGAAATCTGAAAGCAAGTGCAATGTCTGAGCTAACAATTTTATTTTCCATTGTTGTGATGTTATTAATAAAGGAATACTTTTTTGCAACAATGAAAATGTGATTGTGCAACAATTAGGTTAAATGCAACATAAGCAATTATGAATCATAATTCCATTGTTGAAGGTAACCATGACAACTGTGTTATTTAAGGCATTTGATTGGATACTTATAAAAAGTCTCTTTGTGATTGGATGTTTCTATGGCTACATAACTGTGAATAAAATATTTGCATATCATAAATCTTATTGATTTGAATAGAAGAAAATAGATTTTTCAATTTGATCTAGATATCTAGAATTATAGAAATTTAGATCATGCCTCCTGCTGCCAGGTAGTGTTGCAATAGCCTTGAATATAATTTTATACTTTGAATTCTCAAATACTATTTTTATTGCTCATCTTCGGTATTGTGTAATGTACATTTTAGTTTGAAAAATAACATAACCTATTATTCTTTTAGACACGAAAAGAAGGATAAACCAGAGAAGAGCAGAACCCCCATAAAAAGAAAGACACAGCAAAGGTAAGAAATCAATCAGTACAAAGGAGTAAAGAAGAGTGTTTGAAAATCCAAAGGTAAATTAACATAAATTACTCATTTATGTTTTGGAGATATCAATACTTGTAAGCTTACAGCTAATGATAGCATATTTTTTTAACTAAAAAAAGTAAAAGATGAATTGTGTTATGTTATAGCCTCATAGAATACTGTTTATTTCAAATGGTCCTTATGGATGATTTATACAATCTGGGGTGATAAAAAAACAAATCTGTAATGAATATAAGGAATATATTCTTTGGAGAAAAATACTGCATAAATGTAGATCTATATTTATTTTTTTTCTTATGCCAGGAGAAACAAAACGCCCCTTGATGCAGAAGACTCATTCAGTGAGAGCTCCACAGAGAGCGAAGAGGAGGAAGAAACCCCAGATCGCAGGAATGAACCCAACTCTGATCTGCCCTCAGAATACTGGCAAATACAGAAATTGGTGAAATATCTCAAGGTACAGTGTGTTTAGATCTCTGTGGTTGGTTTAATATCATTTTGTGTTCCATAAACTCTTTTGTAATAAATAACTGCCTGGATTTTTTCAATCATTATTTTTTTATTTTTTATTATTATTTTTTTTTTTTGTCACTTTAAGTGATTTTTATTTCATTTTTTGTTTTGAATTTACATTAAAAAATGTCATGCTCTGTTTGATTATTTACTTATTTTTTTTAATATTTATTCACATGGATATTTGTCTCTATATTCAATATTTTGATATTCAGTACATTTATCTTATAATTAAAATTTAAACAAACTTTAAGTACACTTTAATTAAATAGATCTTGAATGTTTTTCCAGGGAGGCAACCAGACAGCTACAATCATTGCACTGTGTGCCATGAGGGATTTCAACTTGACCCAGGAAACCTGTCAGCTTGCCATCAGAGACGTGGGGGGACTGGAGGTCCTCATTAATCTCCTGGACACAGAGGATATCAAATGCAAGGTGAGAGTTGTGGAAAAACAGCAGGGTATTTATTTTAGATGGACAAAAAAATATAAATTAAAAAATTTGTGGATTATTTCCTTATTGAAGTCTTTTTTAACCAAATTTTCTTGATATTTTGTACTTAAATCTTATGTTTATTACTAAGTTTCAAGGAGCTAAAACAATTTTTTTGTCCTTAATCAAAACCATATAGATTGTGAATAGAAATGTTATTGCATCCTCCAAAAAAGAAAAATGCCTTGTGTTTAATTACATGTACAATTAATTACATCGGATTTTTTAAATGTATTTATCTGTTTAATTTTTTTTTCAATGATTTTCAGATTGGCTCCCTCAAGATCCTGAAAGAAATTTCCGGCAATTCTCAAATCCGTAGAGCTATTGCTGATCTGGGTGGTTTGCAGACCATGGTTAATATACTGCAGGACCCGAACAAAGAGCTGAAATGTCTGGCTGCAGGCACCATTGCTAATGTGGCCAAGTTCCGCAGGGCAAGACGTACAGTCAGGCAGCATGGGGGCATCAAACGCTTGGTAAATATCCAATTAAAATGGCAAGAAATTATTTTAAAGGAATTAACATTTAAATTTACATCTTTTTGGTGTAATAAAATGATTAACCTATCAGTATATCTTAATGGGATCCGAATATTAATATTCTTGTTACTTAATGGTAAACCAGATTAAAAGCTGTTCATACTCAATGAGACTAAATTAAGATCTTAGGCATAGACCTCCCACTTTTCTGTTATTTGATAATATAGAAAAATCTTAAATTATCAAGAATGACAAATGATAAATATACATGTAACATGAGCACGGCATGTTTTTATTACCCACAAAGTACACATAGTTTCTTTTTGTGGTTCTTGAGGTTTCCCTTCTACGTGCAGTATTTACTTACTTAGAAAATATCAGAAAAATATTTTTATTAGAGGACATTCATCAAACTTTTTTTCCATTCTATCTCTAGGTGGGTCTCCTGGACTGTGCTCCCCTGGGCACTGTGATGTCCAGCCAACAGGAAGAGGATGTGGAGGTGGCCCGCTGTGGCGCCCTCGCCCTGTGGAGCTGCAGTAAGAGCACCAAGAACAAGCAGGCCATGAGGAAGGCGGGGGTGATCCCGCTCCTGGCGCAACTCCTCAAGTCTCCGCACGAGAACATGTGCATCCCAGTGGTTGGTACTCTGCAGGAGTGTGCTTCAGAGGTAAGGAATGAAGATGGTAGTGTGGATAAATAGTATAAAATATATTATGCTGTTGATTGTAGTGTATTTGTGTATTAGTAAATAAAATTCTTATTTTTGAAATTGTTTTATTCTGTTTATTTAAGCTATAGAATTTCCATCTTGTTCAGTCATTTTAATGAAATTAGAATTATTTAAAAGTACACTGTTATCCATTTGGGATTTTAAAATCCTTCATCTATATATATTATTAGTATTAAATGGAGGGTAATTTTTTATTTATTTATCTATTTTATATTTTTATTTATTTATTTGTTTTTATTTATAAAATTATTATTTATTTTATTTTATTTTTTGATGCAGACAAAAGTCATAATATATTCATTGCATATTCTTGCAGCCAAGCTACAGATTGGCTATTCGTACTGAAGGAATGGTGGAAGATCTGGTGAAGAATCTGAACAGTGAGAACCAGGAGCTACAGATGCATTGTGCAAGTGCAATCTTTAAGGTGAGGAGGATTATACATAGATGAAAAGTGTAGAATAAAACTCTGTACTGGTTGCTGGGTGTTTATATGAACTGCTGGATAATTGATATTTCTGATTATTTTAAAGCAAATTAATACTAGTTTGAATCTTTTGAAGTTGTACCAAAAAGAAGAATCTAATAACAATAAATGAAATGAAATATAAAAATGAAATGAAGATTCAATGAAGTGAAATAAGTTATAACAGAACATTGTTTAACAATTCAGTGTGCAGAGGACAAGGAAACCAGAGATTTAGTGAGGCAATATGGAGGTCTAGACCCCCTTGTGAAATTGCTCCAGAGCACAGAAAACAAAGAACTCCTGGCAGCAGCCACTGGCGCCATCTGGAAATGTGCCATCAGCGATGAAAATGTCCTGCGTTTCCAAGAACTGAAAACAACTGACTACCTGGTTGCTTTATTGAATGATCAACCAGAAGAGGTAAGCACATTCTGACTGAAGGATTCATCATTTGTTTTAAAAATCAGTTTCTTTTCTTTAAATTTTTTTCTTGGGAAGAAAATTCTGGATTTAAGTGCTTTTGAAAAGTGTTTTCAAAATTGATTTACAGTAATGTTAATTCAAAGACAATTTGATTTTTTATCAACAAATTGTAGTCTTGTTATAAAATGGTATTGTTCTGCATATTTTAGATTATATATTAATTACTTCTAACCATATATGTCTTGTCAAATGTTCTAGGTATTAGTAAATGTGGTAGGTGCATTGGGAGAGTGTGCCAAGGATCCTCCAAACAGAATGGCCATTCGTAAAGCTGGTGGCATCCCACCACTGGTCAACCTGCTCACTGGAACCAATCAGAAGCTACTTGTCAATGTCACCAAGGCAGTTGGGCAATGTGCCGAAGAGTCAGACAACATGGCGTAAGTCTTGGACAGATGTTAGAACTTCAGCCGAAGTGATATTGTTGTTTTATTAATTTATTTGAGGAGAGATGTGAACTTTAATGAGAAACTGTACTTTTATTGGGTTCGAGTCATTTCAAAACATTTTTCTTTTCTTTTTGTGTTTTTAAGGAAAAGATACTTGTTTTTTTGTTTGTTTTAGTATTTTACCGATACAGGATTTTACAGATACAGGACAATATTTAAAATTTTATTGAAATTGCTAAATATGAATACATTTATTATATAACATAAGGTTATGCAATGTCCTTGAAAAATATCATTTCTTCATGGGGTTTGTCTCAGGAAAGCCAAATTCTTATTATACAATGGAAAGTAATTATGGCATTTCATAACTAAGAAAGCTGAAATTAGCACCTAAAATGTTCTTTCATAATTAGATTTCCACATTTCCAGGATCATTGACAAGTTAGATGGAGTGCGCTTACTCTGGTCATTACTGAAGAACCCCAATCCAGAGGTCCAAGCCAGTGCGGCCTGGGCAATATGTCCCTGTATAGAAAATGCAAAGGTATGGGGAAAATCACATATGTAAAATAGGTTTGATTTCTGACAAAGGCATGTTGCACAAAATCTGCACGAATTGAAGTAAAGCAAAGTATTAAAGTTTTTTTTAACATTAGGATGATTATGTACCAATTTTGATAAAATAATTTTGAAAAGATATTTAGAGCTAGATATGTCACATTACCATATTGTTACTGGTATTTATACAATGTTTCAAAAGAGAGTTTTTAATTATTTTCAGAGAAACTTGCTGGTGGTATCAATATTTTTTGTAAGAAGATACAAAACATTTTCTTGTCTTGATATGTTGTGATCATTAATGTAGTTACTCTGTTATTTCAAGTGTTACAATCTGTTATTATTATTTTAATGGTTATTATTTTTACTATGTCCATAGGATGCTGGGGAGATGGTGAGGTCTTTTGTGGGTGGCCTGGAGCTTATTGTCAGCCTGCTGAAGTCAGAAGACAAGGAGGTCCTGGCCAGTGTGTGTGCCGCCATTGCTAATATTGCCAAAGACGAAGAAAACTTAGCTGTGATAACTGACCATGGTGTGGTGCCCATGTTAGCAAAACTGACAGAAACAGTGAGTGAATTTGAATTTCATTCTGAGATAGGCAATGTTTAGCTCTTTGCTATTTTTTAAAAGGCATTATAATATTTTTTTACTGATATCAGAATAATGATTGCTTTGTAAAATGCCTCATGATGCCAAGTTTAATTTGTGTAACCTGCAAAGAACTAGACACCACCTTTGGTAACAGTTCTTTTCAAAAAAATATCAATCCACAGTTAGTAAAATAGGATCTGGGAATGGTCCCTAAGTCTGTTACATAATTATACATTTTTCTATTAAATTTGCCCAGGTTGATGACAGACTTAGACAACACTTAGCAGAGGCCATTGCCAGATGTTGCAGTTGGGGCAACAACAGGGTGGCCTTTGGCACGGCGAATGCTGTGGCCCCTCTGGTCAAGTATCTCAAGTCCAAACAGGTGGCCGTCCACCGTTCCACTGCAAAAGCTCTCTTCCAGCTCTCCAAGGACCCGGATAACTGTATAACCATGCACAATGCTGGAGTGGTCAAGGTATATTTGTAATGTACATTAGTTGTACATTTGTGTTTTTTCTGTTCCCTTTCCTTCTTGCAGTGCATGTTACTGTTTGTAACTCATGGTCATAACTGCTGCATGGACCATCTGCTTTGTGTATTCCTGTTGTTAATGTTCGTTAATGATCTATATTTAAGATACGCGGAAAAGAATTCCTCTGATTTAATTTGTATATTGATGAAAGCAGATGCAATTCAAGTGATTATCGCAATTTGGCACATGCAATCTTTGATATAGATCGATACATCTAAAACCTTCTTGTCTGTCTGTTGTCTTTGTCCTTCTTCCTTTTTTTTTTAATCTATGTATTTCATTAATCTTTCTTTTTTTTTTTTTTTTTGTAGATTTCTTCTCTTAGTTCTTGCTCCAACTGATCTTCCACTGTCTGCATGATGTGTGGGTCTTTTTTTTCATTTTCTGCTTTCTTGCAGCCACTTATGAATCTTGTCGGCTCTGCTGATGAATTGTTACAAGAAGCTGCCGCAGGGTGTATAGGAAACATCCGCAGACTTGCTCTGGCCAATGAGAAGGCTCGGAACTCTTAGCCAGTAACCAACCAGCTGTAATCTTTTATTTCTTTTTCTTCTTTTTAGTTAGGTCTCAACAAATCTGGTCTTTTTCTTTAATTAATTAATTTATTTATTTAATATTAAATTATTGTATTGAGGTTGTGGTCCCTAAATGTCATAAATAGTTTGGGACCAACTCCATAAATGTGTTAAGAAATATATAAGATTCAACTAACTTTTAATTAGCTTAAGTGAATTTTAACCATGTTATTTTATTAATTTCATATTTGAGAGAACTATACATGCTTCTTTATTTTATATTTAAATCATACAATTATTTGTATGTTTAATATTATAAGAACTTTACTTGTTGAATACATTTTATCTCTGTCACCTCAAGTACATAGTTTCAGTTCAATTATTGTACATCATGAATATTTTGATATTACTAAAAAAATTTTTCTATCATGATACATTATACAACTTTCCATTTTATTTCCAGTGTCTTATAGAAATGGTTGGCTCTGATGACACAGTATTACAAGAGGCAGCAGCAGGTTGCATAGGGAACATTAGAAGACTGGCCTTGGCTAATGAAAAAGCTAAGCACACTTGATATGAGAAAGAATGGGGGAAAAAAACAAAAACGAGAAACCATGGAGGAAAATTTAGTTTGTGACAGTTTATTTTAACGGCACCCCCTCATTTCCAGCTCTGAGCATAATGGCACCTATTTATTGATCTGTGCAGCATTGTGGATTCCATTATCACATTTTTATCAGGAGAGGCAATCATGAACTGATAGTGATGGTGGACATTGCTCTTCATGAAAACAATAAGCTATCCTTGTAACCTTTAGAACATTAGTCCTTCACCTGCTGAGATTTTTTTAAATCATGTTGTGCATAATTTTGATACCAGGTTATAATGAAAATAAAAAAACTAAGTGTACATAATAATGATAGTAAAAGTTGTGGATAATTGATCATCGGTTAGTTTCATAATTGCCTGCATAGATGTAACAGCATTGGTAGAGAATACACAAGGGAAGTTTTTTACTATAATATTTTACAAAGTTTCAACTTTATGGGCTGATTATGAAATATTAGAGGCTCAAGTTGGATTCACTGACACACACACACAAACAAAAAAGTGGGATGAAATGGGGAAAAGGGAGATTATTGAAACTTTATACCTACTTGGGTTTATTTTCTTAGATCTATGATGATTCTAGGGTAAAAATAGTTCTGCTGCCCATACCAGCAACAATGGTACCGAAGTTTCAAAATTCATCCTCTTCATTTAATCACACAAACTAAATTTGGTTAATTTTCTAAACTTCACAACCTGGGGATTTATTTTGATATTAAAATGTTATCAGAGACAATTGTGTCCCTAACCTATCTTTTTTCCCCTTCTGTGACTAAATTACGAGATAGGAGGTTTAGCTTGATATTGATCTCTATCAGTCTCGTGACAATTATTCAGTATCGAAAAACGTCACAAGTTATCCAATGTAGTTTTTTATAAACAGACGCCTTTTTTGTACAATTTTAATGCCATTTGGCACATTCACTCCACAAGTGTCTTTACTTCAAATTTTCAATTTGGCGAACACAGATTCTTCTTCCAAATCAGCATGATCCGATTGATTTAATAAAAATTATTTTAAAAATTGCACAATTTTGGTGACGTGATGATAATGAAAACAAGAAAAACAGAAATGAATCGTTTAGGCTTTTGTATCCTTAAAGCAAAGGAAAAAAAACAAGTAGAATTTAAATTTAATTACTATTTCTGAAATAAACCTCCCCAAGAAAGATTTTAAGATTGTGACTGTTTAGCATTCTTGGTTACTTTGTGATGATAAAATATGAATTATATGCAAAGTAATATTTAACAGATAAAAAAATTAACACAGTGGTGTTTACATTTTTCTTTTTATTCAAGCCATTTAAATGGATCACACTGGCTAGAAACAACAAATACTTATGTCTTCTAGGAAACATTCATTGTAAGTAAGTGAGTGATATTTAAAGTTCAAAAATTAACATTTCTTTTCACATGGGACACCTAAAGGTTGATCAAGACTAGAAAAAGAGAGATAATGCATCAGAATGAGAAGAACAAGCTCTTTTGTTTAAAGTTGTTAAGAAAATACTACCCACTACCAGTAGCTTTGTAAATTTCTATACATTCACATATAAAAAATTCCCAAGAAATATATAGAATGTGCATGGAAAACTAGTTTCTTTCACAAAAATAACTTTATCAGGGATTATTCATGTACATGATTTGGAAATATAATTGGTCATTTAGATAGCATTATTTTCTCTGAAACAGAATTATCATTATCTACTCACCATATAATATACAGTCACAATGCAAGAGACCTAATACTCAAAAATAGTTTTTCAAGTACCCTGAACTGGTTTGGCCTTTCAGGAGTTTATTGCACTTCTTTAATGAAGATGCAGAGGCTTGATATAGAAATATAAGTTTACAGTTTGAATACAAAAAAGATCACTTAAGTCAATGATTAACATATATCTATTTGATTACCAGATAATACTTTATTAAATTCAGTCATGCAGGGTTTGAAGCTAGAATTTTTTTCTTAGCATGTTGGTTCACATATGAACTCTCATAAATTGTCCAAATCCTATTATTCAAAATATACACCTTCAGTATCTAGGCTACTTTTCAGAACCATGCCTTTCTAAAACATTAAAAAAAAGTGACCAAAACAAAACAATAAGTGCTGCTCATCATTCTACTATACTACTTCATATTCCTTCTTAATACTTCTAGCTAGGCAGGCAGCGAAGATTATTCCAATTATCTGAAAAAGCAAACCAAAAATCCATAAACATACATCATATGCTACATAAACACACATCATATGCTACATTTGTCAGAGAGATGAAAATGCTTCACCAACGTTTGAACATAATCAGTTCATTTACAACGGACATTTATACAACATAGGATCAATTATGTAGAAGACATGGACTCAAAGTGGACATTACTTTCCTACTTCAAATACATACTAATCCACATTAAACAAATGGTGTTTTAACACACCTTCTAGCCATTACAATGTATGTCTGTAACACTCTACCAGTACAGCAAGTAGTTTTTCTATGAACAACAATTCCCAAGAGCATAGCAGTTCAAATTAATAAGGATGAGAGAAATTCCCTTGACGCTACAAATGATTATTTAGAAACAAAATTCCTTAATGTTCAGATTCAGTAGCAAAGTAAAACATTAAGGTTAACTATGCAGCAAAAAGAGTTTCATTTTCAAAGAATGCCACCAAGGAATACTGGGACTGTAGGGCATTTTATTCCAATCTTATAATCCTTAAGATATCCACAGGGCTTTTAAATTACTAGGCATGATTATCCTCTATATTTCATATCTGTGTTGAATGTTGATTATCTCGTTTTTCCCATCATCATTTGCAGGGAAGCAATTCCATGCAGGTCATGCAAATTTAACTTGAAGCCATTAGCTAGTTTTAGCTCCATTACCACTTTCGCCATGATGACAAAAATATAATAATGATAATAATGATAATTAACAGTTGAGGCTTTGAGGTTAGTCTCTCTCTCTCTCTCTCTCTCTGTGCTATTCTCTGGACAAAATAACAGGGGTTACTCAACAAAATATGGTTGTTGTTGTATCGTCTAAAATATATCCTTGGCTTTAACCCCAAAACCATTTAGCCCAGCACAAAAACAACCCGTGACACCTTAGACATAACATTTTTTTAGGTTAAAACTGACTGACAGAATAGAGCACGTAAACAGCTAATTATTGTTTAAACAGCTGGGTAAGGGGCAGCAACAGAGTGGGCATGAAGGCATATGATTTTTAAAAAATGAATAATCACATGTAAAAAAATTAAAAAATTAAAGGCTAAGCTTAATAGTCTGTTAAGGAAAAGGGTTAATATAATTTTGAGGCCTTACAACTTTTTAAAAAGATTTCCCATATTCCTTCTGCTTTAAACTAGGATCGCACCCCAAACAAAAAGCCAAGATAATACCAAATATCTGAAAGATGATGAAATGCACAATTATTATCTGTGAATGGTTTTCCTTGGCAGTTAAAAATAAAGCCTGTGGCTTCTTCCCTTGTGAAGATTCTCCCCGTTTGCTATTTCATATATACCATTAAAACAATTTCCACAAATTAAAATTTTTATTTATTTATTTATTTACAGGGATACCTAAACCAAGGCCCAGTATACACCTTTATCTGAACATTCATACCTCCATCTTTAATATTTTTCTTTCCCATTTAAGGAACTGCAAATGACTAAGGGATGGTCAAAATGGGTTTGGTCAGAGTATCATACCTATCATTATCTGACCAAATGCCTGATAGATGCCATGTATATCAATATTAAACGAGTAAGAGAAAATGAAGGACACTGCACATAGATTTATATCATTCAAAATGATCACATGATGACCAAAAGGGATATATGGCAATGACACTGCCATTTTAAGGATTACTACTCTATGTGAACTAAGCTATGAAATGAGCATTCACAACCAAATGATCCATGGAATAACTGGTCCGTGGATCAAACATGGTGCAACGAGACTTATTTGCTCTGCCCCTGCTGGGATGGTCCGCCTGGGAGGAGGGGATTCCACTACATTATTGCTAGGGGATTATATGGCTTACTTTTATTGCTTTTGCGTGCTATAATTGATCTGCACACAATTTAGTTCATAGATGAAGTGGCTATGAATGCTCTCAAAGACATTTGTCACACAATGCTACCTAGATAGAATCTGATCATCAGCTAGGACAAGACTAACACTTCAATTCCATACAGTACTATCAAAACTCACACAGCCAGAAAAGGCATGGTCATTCTCAAGAACTATCCATATTTTCACACCCATTATCTACGGTAGTGCATTATACAAGCCTCTGTATTTGCCATTATCATATTCAGTCGCTTCACCACTATCAAAACTTACACGCCTGAAGAAAAGAATTGTAATGCAAAAGAACTATCTACATTTTCACACCCAACCATTATCTATGCTGGCAATACAATATACTAGCCTCTGTATTTGCCTGTGCCATATTAGACCACTTCATGCTCTTTCTTTACGGCACGACCCAGACAGCATGCAAACACAATGCCCATGATCTGAAAATAAATCACCCGACATAACATCAGCCCATATTAGTCACAACTGATCCCTTTCAAAGTGTTGCCCACTCCCATTTCCAAAAGGCATGTCCAACATCACTTAATATTTTGCATAAAGAAGATGATGACTTTCAGATGATGACATCTGCTGTCCATATTTTTGCATCCCTTAGATTTTATCGTATTGGTCTTGTAAAGTAGTAGAATTTGAAATAACAGCATTAGTAAATTGCCATGTTAGTACTAAAGAGATCAGGTTTGTTTTAATATGTTTATCTAAAGAAGTCAAACATAAATAAATGCAGATTAGACAGTGCAGTTTTTGGTGAAAATGCTGCCTACGCTGCACATGGTGACTTTATTATCTTCATCAACTCATAAATTTACATGCATGGTTATATTCCCAAGCACTAATATTTTATATCTTGACAAGCATTAGCAGCAAACATCTGCTATTGACTCTAGTCTAGAAGAAGCGAAGAGTGCTGCAAGCATGCAGTGTTAGAATATGACAAATACAGAGACAAGTACAGAGGCGTATATAATACATAACTACATATACATACACTAACTACATCAGCTGAGCAGGCAGACAGAGCACAACAACAAACTGTCAGCAAGGCAACACAACACAAGTATATCAAAAAGATGTTATTCTACAGAGAGCAACATTTAAGCATATTAGAAGTAGAGAAGCCAGTTATATCTTACAACATGGTATTGGTAAGGGGTCATATAGATCTACTAAGTGTGCTATCCAGATAAATGATGAAACTGGAGCAGTCCCTAAACGTAGTTGACGGAAAAGAAAGGTGGTAATGGGTATGAAATATTCATAAGTAGTACTGACATTCAAAGCTGAGTTATGTTTAGACTGTTAGAGCTACACATATATTAACACATAAATAATTGCATTAAGAGTAATACCAAAGCAGCACTAGTACTGTTAAAGCAATTCCACACCCAGACACTCTTTATATATATATATATATATATATATATATATATATATATATATATATATATATATATATATATATATATATATATATATATATATATATATATATAAAGAAAATTTAGCTGTGGACAAACTTGAATAAGGGATTCATATCTTTTAACCATTTAAACCCCCAGAAGTTGTCACAACTGTTAACCCTTTACACAAGAAAACAAATACAAGAAATACACATATGGGCCACATGAAGTTCATTGAAGAAACAGATTTATACAGAGAACGTTAAAAAAGAAAGTTACTCCAACCATTTAAAGTTTTGACAGAGAATTATCCACTACATTTTGCCACACAAAATTATTTCTGATTTAACTGCTCATTACACCCCTGTGATAAGCAGGTCGATTGCATCTGGTATCGAAACACACGACATGTTTGAAGACAAGTACATAAGCATAAGAGCATTTAAAATTCTCAGGTGAGTCAGATAGTACAAACATCAACAAAACTGATAAGATCCTGTGTTGTACAACAAATTAAAAGCTACAAAGAAACAAGCTGTGATAAGGGGGGAAGAACAAAGCTCTAAGCAAATTTTATCAAAAACAGAAGCAACTACTGTCTGTGTCACATATAAAATGGCAGAAGAAGACAAACTTACCTCAATGAAAGCCCAAGCTATGCCAACCGCTCCAATAATGTAGATGTATCTCTCTGCCCATTCTTGGACTGCTTTGACACAACCCTGCAGGAAAGCAGAACAATGAATTTACATTAATTTTTTAATATTCCTTAGATTTATTCTGCACTCGCTTTTACATCAATAACATTGACTTTACTACTCCTGATTGTGACCCACAGGAAAAGGGGTAGGAAAATTGGAAAACTGAAAGCTGAAAATTTAAAAATTGATGCCAAGTGACTGTGCCAGTTCAAATAAACTATAAACTGACCCATAAAAGTTTGATGTTAAGACCTACAGTATTTATCTGGTGAGTGCAAACCCCCCCCCCCCATACAATATCTGCACAGTTTACAGATGGATTAGGCATAATCTTATTCATTACTTCATAGAAGGGCGAGTAATTGGGAACTGATACTATTTAAAAGAGGTCACCAGAATTCGACCCAACATCTCACAATACCAAGGATACCAAGATCTAGAAGACTTTAACAAAGAATTCACAACATAATCAACCTGAACATTTCAAACTGACAAATTTTCATGAATCTTTATAAATGACATTTTTGCAATTTCAAACAATGAAACTGCCTGCTGCTGCAGTCTTTACCCAATAATAACAAAAATAATGTAAATCAATAATAAATTAAAAAAAAAAATAAATAAATAAATCAAAATACAAAAGAACATCGTTTCTTCTGTACTTACATCATTTCGCAGTTTGCCTGTGTCCCCTTTGTTCAAGTAGTATTCGTAGCAACCTGTTCTGTTGTTGTTCAGACTACTATCAAGTGAAATGCAGCAGCCATCACCTCCAAGTTTGTTGGTTTTATTTTCCCAATCCCCAAAACCATTCACGCCACAGCATTTGAACTGAAACATACAAGTGGGGAAATCAAAAGAGACAGCAAAGCTTGAAGTACACAGACACCAAGCAGGTAGAAGCATTGCAAGAATACTGCAAACAAAAAATCAATAACTTTGGTTAAAGAAAAGGAAAAATCGGATTGTGCCGATTTTCAAAAGGGACCTGCAATTTTGCCCAGTGAAGTCACAATGCAAAATGTGACATCAATTAGAAATTGTTATCAAAAACCAAGGGACCTGCAATCATTTCAATATTTTTTTTTAATTTTCATGTGCACAGGCTTCATAAAAATGGCAAAAAAAAAAAAAAAAAAATTTCAAAGATTACTTCAAGCTGATAAGTCAACAAATGATGAAGTGACATTGTAATATATGTAAGCCACAATTAAGATAATTATTATACTTCTTGGTCAGTTACAATCCAATATTCTGAATAATTTTTAATCAGCAGGTATTTAAAAACATAAACTGGAATGAGCAGGCATTCTGTGTTTTCGTTTTGCTTCAAAAAGGCATCTTGACACCTGTGAAAACCTCCTCCTGTTTTAAAAAAGCAATCCCTGCAATGGGCATACTTACATCTTTTTCAATTGTGTTGAATATGGTGATGTCTGCAGTGTTTCCTGTGCCAGCCTCGTCCAAAATTTTGGAAGCAGAGGTTTTAATTACATCAACAACCTAAAACAACAATAAATATTCTAATCAAATGAATTAGGTATTATGAATGATATTAACATTCTTATGTAATATTTTGTTTGAATGCTCATTTATTTTCATTTTTTCTATTTATTAGCTACCATTACCTATATTTGTGCACTGCCAAATGTACACAGACACATTCAGAAAATAACAGCAGCAGAGACACATGAAAATATTCTTCATACAATTTTCTATTACTAATTGTATTTCACAGAAAACAGGTTGGCAAAGCATGATCAGACCCCCTGAATACCAAAACAAATATCATTTCAAAAAATGTTGAAATAAATCTATTTCGATATCTTTTTAGGGATCTTGATAATCATAATTAATTATAATTACCTGATCCTTGAGGACAAAACCAGCAATTCCCGCTGCCAGCTCAAAGATGAAGATGATAATCAGAAGTGCAGCAAACTGAAATAAAGTGAAATAATATTGATAATGACTAATATGACTTCTGTTAGTAAAAACTCTTCACCAAAACAATATAGCGTAAGTGTTACAGTTCAATTTTGCAGTTTAGGAATCTTCATGGAAAGGACTGAAAATTACCATTCCTTGAAGCTATTTAATTAGCATTATATTTAAACAACACCTTTCATTGCCAATAGTGCTGGTGATTTCCAATGCCAAAAGTGTGAAGTGGCTTGGGTCAATGAAAATCTAAAATTGACCCAACAAATGTTATTGGACCTAGCTGAAAAAACTACCTTTTAACCATGGCCAGCAATATTTTTAACATTCTAGGGGCTTTCTGCCCATTTTTGACATCATTAAAACATGGAATGGGTGAGCAAGGCACAAACATTTATAACAGCATAAAATATCCAGTGGAATGGCCCATTTATTTTTCCAGTATATATTCCCCTCTCCATCTCATTTCCTAGATTTTCATAAATCACACCCATACTCCACGATTTCAACACACTTCTATACTTACGGTCATAACCATGCAATAGTTCTCCTTGATGGCACCGAAGCAGCCAAAGAAGGCGACAATCAGGATGATCACTCCCACAATTATGACATACGTCGCTGCCGAACCAAACGGCCCTTCTCCAAGGAATTGTGCATATTCTGAGAAACTTGTAAGCACAACTGCGCCTGCGATGATCAGCCCAAGACCACACAGCTGTCGGGAAAAAAGGAGACGTGGAATACTTATAAGCACCCTTATATTTATAAAATAAAGATATATCATGAGTCAGAGATATCAGAAAATTAAGAAAAAATGTACCTGAAAGGTTCAAATGTTTGACTGTTTTTGAACAATTTAATGTAATTTGCATTTTTCACTGTTAATCTATTTCATATAAAATTTAACAAAAAGTTTCTCTTAGTATTGAAAGAAATGCTTATTTTTGTCTATTTATGATGAAAAAATGCATTAGTCAGACCAGAAAAAATATCACTTGTCTGGGGTAGCGCTAACACTCGCCAATTTAGCCCAATGCTAAAACTGACTTAAACTGGCTAAAGAAAAAGGGCTTGATTTGACATGTTTTAGCCAAATTATAACCATTTCGATAACAAATTGACAAAAATGTGGTGATTTGGCTAGGCGAAAAAAATTGCTAGTGCTACCCCAGCTTGTATGTAACTAAATCATCATATCTTGCTCTTAAAACATCTTTCTACATTAGGATTCATGATACAGCTGAAATATACTTGGCAATACTTCACTTTATACTCGTATTACTAATTCTATTGTTGTTTCCGCTCATTTCGCATACAGAAAACCTAACACCATTCAACATATAAGCATCCTATTGTTGAATAAACTCTTATTGAGAGCATACTTGTTTGCAATTTGCATGCATTCGCCAAAATCTAAAGCTCATAAATCTAAAGCATGATAAAGAGCGACTGCTTACTTCGATATGTCACATTCATGCCATTTTAGTTTTAAACATGTTGGTCACATATTCCATGACTTTGTAAACTTCTATTAAGATATAATCATCAAAATCATACCCGAATTCTACAATTTTCTTTGGTAATATATATTGTAAAACAACTCAAAGCTCTGCATAATTTTCTATTTATTTCAAATTTGTTGCCCAAAAAAATTCAAGAATTTAGAATTTCCACATGATAAAGTACAGTCTGATAATCTTTTAATATTTACCTATATATTATATATATGTATGCAGTCCCTTACTAATCAATATCATTTCATGAAAAATGCACAGCAAGGCAAATCGATATATATGCAGAATATGTTACAATAACCACTTTAATCAAAGCACCTACGTGGCATATTTAGTAATCAACAGCTAAATATACACATTAATTCTTATCAAAGCTGCAGCTTCATACTACAGAAATCGTGTTTAGATTGTTGCCAGATACCACCTCCTGATTAATTAGAAATGGGAGTCAATGCCTATCTATGCACACAGGGATCCTGACTAAACATTAAACTACCTATAAAGCTAAAGAGAAAGGTGTTCGCACATGCAATCAATACTTTTATCTAGATCAGGACGAGATAAAGGCTTATCGTGATAAATCATTCATTCAGCGTCCTTTCAGAATAACAAAATTCTTATTGTAAATTAGGATGTATGCAGTGGAATAGGTCACATGTCCATACTCCCACATTATCGCCACAGAAACACCTAATGCAAGAAATATGTTTACGTCCTTGTAATATCCGTTTTCTTTTCTTTTCTTTTTTTGCTGTAAATATCCTGTTTACTGCTTAAACACTGTGAAAGATTGACACAGACATTTTTTAAACATACTTATGCAAAATAATAACAATAAAATAAAATAAAAGTGCTAAGACTCCTGCTCTTATCAATGGAAGCAAAAAGTGAACATTATTAAATACCTAAATCAATTATAAACAGGCACACTTGCTATTACACATTAGTATTGCACTGAATACAAGTTCCATAATGTTATATCACATAAATTCACCCAGCATCTACCAGCATGCTAGCAGAAACCCACACATCAATGCAGGTATGGGAAAAGTATTGGTATTTGACAGAAATATCAATCTGTTTAGCACCTCACATGAAAATTATTAAAAATTAATACTTCAAAACCTGTTTCTTTTAATACAAGATTTAAACATGTGATTCACAATTGAAAATAAATGGATTTTGAAAAAAAGGCAACTTGCAAGTAAAGTGTACATATACACTACCCAAAGAGGAAGAAAATAAAATTTGGCTAATATTTATTTTTAACCTTCCTGTTTTCCTTGTGGACAACCTATATTTTACATAAAAAATAGATATCTTTTAAGATTAATGAAATATCCATGTTAAGAAATTCTACATTTGAACCCAAAGTGACTTATCTGACCTTAGCAAAGCAAAACAAAAAATGATTGGTCTAAAGACTTGTATGTTATATTTATAATTAACTTCCGCATTTGTTACTCAATACACAAAAGTGCCAGGAAAATGAGTTTCCTGAACTTTTTTTTTTGAACAAAATCTTGCATGCAGACTCTTAAACAGTCATCTATACAATATGAAAGGTCAGACCTGTTCATGAAGTAACACAGTAAGCCCTTAAATTTATCCTATCATGGTAAAACAGATCAACAAGTCACGTCACACCTTTGTAACAGGATGTACAAATGTAAGTTCTAAATTGCAAATAATGACTAATGAGCACATGCCATTTCAAATATGTTAAACATCAATATAACTTGAACAGTAATAAACTTGTTTTTGCTTGCTCAAACTTATTTAAATTATGAAAATGTACAGTAGCATTTTGGCAAGTCAAATTAATGCTTTGAACAAACTTGTTTCCATTTCTTTTAATTGAACAAAAAATAAAATCTCAAATTACTATGGTAGTAAACATTTATCATAAGTTCTGCACAATTCACAGATATGATCAGAATAATAATTTCCTTATTTTCTGGGACTTGCACTGAATAATAAAAATATATTTTGACAAGGATAGTTGCAGTCACATAGACATTCCCAACTTGTTGATTTCTTATTTAGCATTTCCCCTGGTCTAAATCGCTACAACACATTTCTCAGATGGTTTCAGTAGTTCACATTTGTCATACTGCACAATTAACATTCCAGAAGCCTGATGTCGAAGTGCGATTCGCAAACTGGCGGCGGTCACACCTTTAAGCTCACAGCTAAACCACTGATGCTGGTTAGCCGCCGCTAGCACTGCCCTAGTCTCAGATTTGCCCTCTAGAGATCCTTATTACTCTAAACCCAGATTTAAATTTTCTGGGCTGTTAATACACGGTGTAAATAGTCATAACTATTATTTAATAAAATCTGACGGTAAAATTCTGCTTTTTATGTCGAGATTTAAAACAGGCGACGTACACAACGAGAGCAAGTGGAGTGAAAACCTGCATGACAACAACTCAACAAGTCGAGGTTATACTTACGAAAAAGAGCAAGTTGAATGCGAAGAGCAAGTATTTAACGCATGACATGCCACCCTCAACCATTTTTACTGTTTTGTGTTGTCCTGAGATACGTTGTTATGTCGTGGAATTCTAACTGCGATGTCCCTCCAAGAACACCTGTCGGCTTCGTAGCTTCCTAGATCGGATACACTTGACCGTTTTTCAGTGGATACTCTGTAAAATATAGTTCCGTGTATGTCTGAAGTTTCAGTTAAATTAACCCTTACTGTTCAAGAACTGGTGATAAATTCACACTTTATTCAGAGCTTTGGGAAACCTATCATGGGATGCACATCACATGACACTACGCCCATACAGTGGGGATGAATATTGCGCAAACATATTTATTTTGAGCGCAGTGATATATTGCAACGTCAACATCATGTGAGTACCAGTGAGTACTATATTTTTGTCAATTACATCATGACCGCATTAGAACCTCGTTTACAAATGTGTTAGAAACATACATGATTCATAGTATATTGAAAACGAGTCTTATTACTCTTTTCGCAAGAGAGAACAGAAATCGCATTGCGGAAATTTGAAGCATGTCCCAGTCAGAGTCAAGTGATGTGACGTATTTTTCTAATAAGCTGAAATGGGCAATCGAAAGGCGAGATATACCTGCTGTGAAAAGACTAATCAAAGGAGGCGTCATTGCTGACGCACAGTTTTGGGTAGCCATATTATCTTGTTGAAATCAATATATTACAAAACAAGCATTACCCAAGGCTAAGCTTTTAGACTAAAGTTAGACATGTCAGTGTTACCAGTAGACGTTAGACCCAGAGACTTTATTCTTGAATCTAACCCTCACTTACTCTGACCGAGTTTAACTCATTACTTAATTGTTACGTTTTACTCGCATTTCAACTTTGCAAAGATCAACATCTACACCCGATTTGCATCAATAAATCCACCTTATGAGTTGCTCTCATTGCACGTTCGTTTTACATGCAGACATGGGGAAACTGCCTGTCCGACTGATCAACTTACTGAGGGAGAATACTAATAGTACTTCAGGAAGCACTCACCCTCCAAACATACCTGCACTCACCTTTACGTCTGACTTCAGTCAAACTTAGTTCATACTTACATAAGTTTGAGCGAAGCGCGAGTTTGAGTGAGCTGAAGAAATACTATGTACAAGCCTAAGGCTTAAAGACCTCAGGACTGTCACATCATTACCTGAGATAAATGTCTCACTCTGTTAGTCACTCAGTCTCGGTGCATGACTTTTACCATACCTGGTATGTGTCATTCCAAAACAGGTATGCCTGGTGATAAACAAGAATGAAAGGCAGCATATTTTGAGTTTGTTCTGTGAATTTTTTTATTATTTCAAAACACTTGAATAACATTAACCAATCTATAAGTAGCTGTAATGGGTTAGTTAAAAACAATCAGGTGGCATGAGAATGATTTTAATTTTACACTTTCCAAAAGAACCATTTTACAAATGGTCATTTCGACATTGAAAAAAAATTGATCAGATATTATACCAGTTAGTTATCATATCTAAGAAGTTTGTGTTTTGAACTTGAAATTTGTTTGGTTTTTAAGATAATTGTGAACTGAGTTTCATCTTATTTGGCAGTTATCAGTAGAATACACATTTGTGACCTATTTTCCCCAATTAAGTATTCTGGCAGGACACCTGTAAATGTACAAACATTGTCCTGTGTGTCCTTGATAACACGTGATACATGATACATATTGAACACATGACAGTGCACCTCAATATTCAGAAGCTTGCTGCATCAGTGTGTCTTACTATTTTGTCATTTTTAAAAATTAAACATGGTGTAAGAGTCAGAAACCAAAATAGATAATATTATACCCAAATCTAAACAATTGTAAATTTGAATAGAATTTGATGTAAATTTCAGATTTTGAAGTCAATAGATTGTAGCCAATGTATTATATACCTCATGCATATTTCTACAAATGATACCACTACATGTACTATTATTGCTATAAATATTTATTAAAAGTAAATACGGATGGTAGAGGCAAACTGATTATTAGTGGCGCAAGCCAGTTACTTCCAAAGCTGTAATTAATTAATTCTCGGCTGCGCTCGGAAGAGAGTCTCATATCTTAGACTAATTCTTGTCACTAACCTGTGAATTTTGCACCTATTAAACTATGTAATTCAAATTTTCTAAGTAAGTCAGGAAGACCACTATATTGATAAAAGTACATAATTGACAAATTGCACAGATTGTCATATACATATGACTTGAATGTAAATTGTTCTTCAATTACTTTTCAGTACAATTCCACTGTTCTTCATGAAGCTGTTTCTTCTGGTAATGAGGAGCTAGTCAAACTGATACTACATGCCAAAGCTAAAGTCAATGCAAAAAACAAGGTACAGTACGTGTACATGTATACAAGTAGTTCTTTTTAAGTTTACAGCCCAGTGACATCATAAGAGTACAAATTAATCTGGCAAATCTACATTTACCAAGTATGCCATCAAGTTTTATAAAAAGGGAAATGTTTGGGGTGTGTTGGGGGGGGGGGAGGAAATGCGTGGATTTGTTATTGCACTCCTCAGGGTACAGACGTGTATATGGAGTTAAGTTATTATTTGTAGAAAGCCCGTCTCATCTTGATGGTATCACGCCTGCTCTTATTATATAAAAGTGGGCGCTGGGAGAAGGGAGGGGTGCATGGGAAGTTCCCTATTCTACAGTGTTTCATATCAGTTCACATTGATTTTGTATGTAACATTATGAAAGATAAGGTGTGAAACAGCAGATGAGATGTGCACCTTTGATGAGCACCTTTAGGTTGGTTGTTCCAGGATGAAGAGTCTTTAATTGCAGTCAGATATGTTGCTTCATTATTTTAATGTATATAATAATATGCTTAAAGATAAGTGTGCTCTATACTATTATTATTATTATTATTACATATATTTGTCATGAAGGAAGGAAGAAGTGCTCTCCACATCGCTGCAAGATTAGGCCACTCTGGTGTGGTTCAACTTCTCCTGAATGCAAATGCTGATGTGAATGCACAAACTAAGGTACAAATTTGAAAGACAATTCTTGTAATTTATCTTACTGTTTCATGATTTTTGTGGCCTGCAAATTTAATAGAAAGTGTCTAAAAATAAGTTTAGAAAATTATTCAACATCTAGCTATAAGATTTATGCTTATGAACTTACATTGCAATGTCTGTCAACAGATGCAATTTAACTACAATGACGGTACTAGTTTTGTCATAATTATGGTCATCATCTAGTAACAAATTTTGTAAGTCCACAAGCAGATTTGAAAATTTGTGTATATATAGTTTTTTATTAAGTGCCTGTAATTTAATGCCATTTTGGTTTAGATTTTTAAAGAAAAAAATACCTCAGACAGAATTGAAAATATTTCATTGTTTAAAATGTGAAATGTTGTGCCTGATGGTTCAGCTGTATATGTTTAGGATGGCCGAACACCACTCCATGTGTCACTATGGAGAGGACATACACAGATAGCAAAGGCACTGGTCAAAGCAGGTGCCTCTGTCAACAGAAGAGATGAGGTACTTATTTTTACTTTTTTTGGACAAGTAGTTTGTAATATTCTCTGTAGACTGAGTTGAGACTAAGTTGATGTTCAGTTTGAACAAGATAATTTTCATACATTAGTTACTTTACAAAATAGTGACTCTTTAGGTCATAGGTAGCGATGTACAAATTTTGTGTAAAATGTGTGTGACTGTATTATGTCACAACTCTTGATTTCTTTCTATACTGGATGGTACTATACAGTGTAGTGTAAAACAGCAAAAATAATTGGGCAAGTCAGAAATATGATTCGACTTGGGGAGCTTTTTTTTTTTTTTTTTTTTGTGACATGTCTGATGTAGTGGAAAGTCCTTTACCAATCATCAGCAATAAAACCTCTTAGATGAAAGATTATCTGAAATTAAATTAAAATGGCAGGAAAATGTCATATAGATTACCTTTAATCATGTCCAAATAACTGATAAAATTGCTGATAATTTTTTGACAGGATGGATGGACGCCACTGCATTGGGCTGCTAAACAAAACAACAAAGATGCATTGGTGCTTTTGTTGCAGGAAGGTGCCGCAGTCAATTCATCAGATAAGGTAAATAAGGCAACACTTTTGAACTTCATTTTAAGATATACAATATTTATAAGAAATTAAAAGTTTCATAGTACTTTATTCTTAGGTTCATTGTCGAATATTTTTTAAAACTTTTTTGGCAAAATCAAATGTGTGTATAATGGTTCCTGTTACAGCTGATTTTGCAGTCCTTATAAGGTACTACAGAGGTTATTAAATGCTTATTCAGTCTTTGTCAAAATCTTTTAAGTCTACTGGCCACCATGTGGAAACAGTGTCAAGTAACTGAAATTTACTGTCCACAAATTTTTACTAACCTGTCCTAGTTTTTCTGGCATTTGGCAAAGGCCCAGTGTTAGCATCACAGGTTGCTGATGGAGCTCTGCAAAATTTCTTAAAAAGGGAACATTCTTTTTGAGAAAGAGATAGATTCTGTTGTTCTTTATTTTTATGATTCATTTGATTTATCTTATATTCCATAGAATGGCCACACGGCATTTCATGAGGCAGTTTTCAAAGGCCAGTTTTCTTTGGCTAAGGAATTGGTTAGAGAGGGTGCTGATGTGAACCTGGTTGCCAAGGTAGGAAAATAAAAAGCTTCTCATTTTCCACACCACTACACATTTTTTGTCAAAAATTCATAGTTTTTCATAAGTTTTACAGTATGACTTCAAAACATGACTTACTACTAGTGCATAATACTTTTTTAAAATTTTTTTAAATGTCTAAATCTCAGTAAAAGAATGGTTTTTATATCATGTAAACTTCTTACACAGTTTATTTATATTTGTTATGGTTAGACACTCAGTATATTGCTCACTGTACTCTCTTTATATAAAGTCATGTGCAAGTACTGAATAAATAATACTGACAATGTAACACAGTCTAACCCAAAAGTTACTCGAAATTATTATTTTTTTGCAATTTTCAGGAAGGACCAATCAGATTTCTTTTAACTTGTATTAAGATATGTCTAAGATATATGACTTCATATTACTAATAAAGATGTTGACAATGTACCAGTATAACCTAAACCAAAAGCTACAGTTGTACCATATGTAATAAGGTATGTTGACAGTCAAGTATAAACTCAAAAAAGAAAAAAAAACTTAGCATGAATTTTTCTTTCAATTTTCAGGAAGGACCAGCTTTCGATATCCTTCTCAAGAAAGGACTTCTAACCTCACAGAGTGTCAGTCAGTTACTGGACTGGGGATATGATCCTAGAAAAAACAAACTGTGTACAGCAAAGGCAAGGTTTCACAAAATGATTGCAGACAAGTTACAGACTGTAGACACTCTAACTTCCCTGTGCAGAATTGAAATCAGACAAATTTTGTCTAGGAGAAAAAATTGCAAATGCTTCAGTCAGCGAGTTGTTGAACTGCCATTGCCAAATATTCTCATAGACTATATTGCCATGAAATCTGAACTAGAATCTTGACAATTACATTATGTACAGACAACAAAGTTCATATTAAATTTTATTGAAGTGTCATACATGTAGGTGGGCAGATTTTGTTTTGTTTTGCTTCAAGTTGTGAAGTTTAAAAGAGAGCATCCTGCTACTTTGCATAATTACCTCAGTCAAGGTTGGATGTCATGTTTTCATGGGCATTGTTTGTGGACGTCTCAAAAATTTTCACATATTTTAATAAAACTTTCAGGACAGACACTTTTTCAGAAGGGAAAGAAGTGATTTAAATTTAACCGTCTCTGGGTCTTCTAATACTTCTTAAAGTTCCTTCATTTATTATTTTATTGTTAAGGTTTTGCTTTTGCGAGGTCTGTGTTCTTGGAGTGCTTGCCGTTTCTTTTAACCCTCCTTTTGAGATAAGCAGACTATTTCTGTTTATGTCAGTGTTGCTTGAAGGTCAGCAACATCTGTCGACTTACAGACACATGATTTGAATAATAGATGTAGAAGTGTGGAATAGCTGTATTCCGTCTGTTGGCATACATGTACTGTTAACAGTTATCTTGTCTTGGTTAATAGTGAACCTGTATTTGTTTATGTTCTAGTATAAATATTATATATAGATATTATGAAAGTCACTGTGGACAGTGCTTATTAATAATATAATAGCAAAACTACATTTTTGTTTCAGTGTTAATTTCCTGAAAAGTAATGTGTAGTTAAAATGAAAATAGAGTATGAACAGTAGCACATCACTTGCACACAGTAATAGGAATAGACCTTTTGCAACTAGTTGACTACATGTAGATGTTGAATTATTTTGTTAACTGGAGAGCAGGGTCTTCAGTAAACAAAAGAAGTCAATATCTGGTCATCAAGATGCAAATGCCTAGGCCTGAAACACCGTTAGAGCTGAAATAATAGAAGACAACTTTGCTAGAGATGGTTTAAACAGTGCAGGGAGGGGGGGGGGGCGCAGAGGTCATGCTGTGTTTATTGTTATTGTTGATGTTTTGAACGTTTTCAGTAGCCACGTGATATGGATGATTTACAATGTGGAGAGATCACATGATGAGTGTTGACACTGATATCGATCAGCGAGCACGTGTTACAATTTGTAAGACAGTCTATGACCCTAAGCCAAAGACGTTCACAAGGGTCCGTCAATTACCTCATAACACAGGTGATTTATTCAGGAGATGCACAGGGGCGGATCCAGGATTATTTGAAGCGGGGATCTGGAACGACAGGCCTCGGATGCGACGCCAACCATTGCCCCTTTGGTGTGGGGTTCAGGGCCTGCTGCTATAATTCAGAAACCAAAGGGGGCAGGGTCAGAAAATGAAAATTAACCATTTATGCTCCTTACATAATGTATAGATATGGTAAAGATAAAATGTAGATGTAAAATTGAGAGTCGTAGATTTTTGTTCTATACACATATGATTAAAAAAATTAACACAACTTATTGAATGCAATTTTTTTATACTTAAGCATGTGGATTGCGTCTCTATATTGCGTTTGGCTGAGTAGCGGTTTTAAATTATTTACGACTTGCCAATATATTTCTACATACAATACGCCATCACATTTAAAGAAAAGCTTTACCGATGAATGTGAAAATTTTTGCTCTGTGCATTTTCACGGTCTTGATAGTTTCCATTTATTGGATGAAGAGAAATTTAAGTAGCAGATATGTGATGAAAACCAGGATTCTGCCAAAAGGTAAAAATGTTCTCTCTTTCTCTCTCTCTCTCTCAATTTAGGCCGGTGCCCGAGGCAAAGCACCCATTTTCAAGGGGAGAGATGGCTTCTTTCCTGGACAAAGAGATAAACTGTACCAGACGAGGCAAGTATCCGACTTGTTCAACCCAGCAACGGCATGTATATTATTTGTCGAATTTAGAACGGATGATCCGCGAACTAACTGATCCGTTTATCAAATTTGATAATTACATTATACATTATGACCGTACTAGAAAGCGATGCTGCTTATCCCCTGATGTTCTCCCAGCTTAACACACGCGTCAGGACAGCAGGGGCCTAGCAATAAAACGGATTAAATATCGGATCCGAGGTAATTTACTATCGTATTCAGAACTATCGTAAATTACCCCCTAGTTATTGGAGGGTGCGTGCCAGACATTTATCCGCTTACACTGAATGCAATTTAGCTAGAATCCCTGCAGAGTTAGACATATCCGGCTAGTAGGCTATGATTGGTTAATGAGGACGCTCCCATAAACCAATCCTACTAGCTGGATCGATCCAACTCTGCTAGGATTGTGCTTTTAGTGTAATCAGCTGAATTGTCTGGCACGCCCCCTTGAGTAACTAGGGGTAATTGACTGTCGTTAATTAAGAATCTAAGAACCTGAATAACCAACAGGCTGGTGATAACAGTATGGTATATACTCTACCCCCTCTACTTCTTTTTCTTTCAATTTTGCCTGTCAAAATAAGGTGTTTTTAGTTGTTATACGCTTGTTATGTCTGGAAATTTTTGTTGTTTCTTTCTCCCTGTGATGACTTTAATTAGGGTTCGGTTGGTTCAAGTAAGCCTTCTTTAGCACTCATTCGTTGTGAATCTTATGTGTTCTTGATCATGATAATCCTAGGAGTTTTCTGAAGAATCACATTTCGGTGTCGGTTTTGGTCGCTCCAGAGAGGGCGTGCATTTCACTATTATTATAAATATCTGAAAAACCATGACCACTCTTCTTAGTTTTAGATAGAACACAAGAGACCACCCTTCTGGATGGAACATATTTTGCCAGTGTTCGACAATTTCCCGATGACACATCTTCGGCTGCTCCTTTTCCATACGAGGTCCCAGGACGGACATGTTCTCACGTAAATTGTAAAGCAAAAAGACATATTATTTCCTTGAAAGTTCATAAATGCGGTTCTACCACCATCTCTTCAATTTTCACACGGGCAGCAGTAAAATACGGGTTGACCGTTTTAAAGCCACTGAAAGGAAGACCTAGTTTTTACCCGAGTAAAGATCTGAACTACCCGCTCCTTCATGTAAGACCCCGTTTCCAGAGATTAGATCGATCTACTTTAGATCGACCTAACTCCCTTGGGGTTCACGCTAAATAGCTGTCAGCCGAGCGGACACGAAAGTTAATTACCCCTTTACAGCTTGTAGTAGGCGGGACGGACATTTAAGCCGGATTATCTGACAGTAATCTAGTGAGACTCCCCGCGGGGATAGATCGATCTAAAAGCTCTGGGAATACAGCCTAAGGAAGCCAACTGTTGCAGATGCCGCCTACAGTCCTAACAAAACATATGACATGATGATTCATCACATGGTTTTTGATGCTGAAGTGGTAAACGCCATGATGCCCAAGGATTCATTTCTCATAGGAATTGTCCGTGATCCATTTTCTCAATTTAAGAGTGCCTTTAGCTATATGGCAATGAAAAGCAAATTTAATATAACATCCTCAAATAGTCTTCTAACATTTTTCCAAAACCCGTATAAATATTGGAATAAGTACATACGCCGAAGTCATAATAGCTTTATAAGAAATGGGATGATGTACGAGTTTGGATTTCCAGATGACGATGTGAAAATCAGAAACAACGAAACTTTCATCAAACAATACATTGATTACATAGATAATCAATTTGATTTTATCGTTGTGAATGAACTGTTTGATGAAAGTTTGGTTTTACTTGGTAGAAAGTTATGCTGGAAGGTACAGGATCTGCTGTATGTAAAGCAAAATGCTGGTAAGTACACTCCTGAATTTAAGACTGAAGACGACCCATGGATCATTCAACAACATAAGACATGGAGTAAAGCTGACTATTACTTGTACGACTACTTTTTGACCAAATTGAAAAAGACAATTTCTTCTCAGGGTAAAGACTTTTATGACGAGCTTGCAAGTTTTAAAAATGCTTTGAAATGGGTGAAAAGATGTGGGTTTGCAAATGTGATAGATGTCTGTCAACGAAATGTCAGTGGAACTTACGTTGCACTGCAGTGTGTAAAATTTGGCCGTACATATAAACAGAACTAGTCAAGTTTTGCTGATCATTCGAATGAAAAAAAAAAAACGAAATCTTCACTTATTTAACATATGATGTGTCACAGAAAAATATATTGTATAGCTTGATCATTGCTAGACAAAGTCTGTTTGTCCAGGTAAGATCTACATTCGAAAAAAAAGTTTGAAAGTATGAAATTGTTTTTCAATAATTAAAAGAATGTCATACAGTGGGAAAATCTTCAGTGTATATATAAAAGAACGAATGTTGAGTGCGTTATCCATCAATATTTGGTTAAATATTTACCTTAGCTCATATGATTATTTCATAATTATCCAAAATGACGATGTTTCCGAACTTTTTTGGTCTAGTGTATTTGAGGACTTTATTGTATGGAATCCCAGGAGGCCCGAATGAAAAAAAAATCATAACAAACTTTAAATGAAAAAAATCATATTGAGATTTTATTGTGGCTTTTGCTGCCAAAAAAATAATTTTTTATCTTGATCGATTTGAAATAAATGATATAATTTGCCATGTTTGAAACATCAAGCCTTATAAGTAGCATTGTGCAGTACTAAGTATCATGGAATAAAATACAAAATTTGGGATCAAGCATGGAGCTGATAAAAGCGAAAATTTAGGGTAAATATACTTGTTTGTAAAATACTTTCATATCCGATAAACTACATGTATCTCAATGTATTTGACTGGATATGTGTTTTTATTTATATCGATGATTTTTATTAATGAAAGCAGACTATGGGTTAGTTTATCTTGTATATGCTGCCACTGTTCAGGACGCAGTGGCACCCCATTGCCCTGATTGTCAGAGCACTGTAAAGCTAGCTTGCTCACTATACCTTTCCATGTGTTAGCTTTACAGGTATTGCTGATATGGGTTATATATGAAATCAAGATCGAGCTGGCAATACCGAAATCTAGAACCTAGGGTACGCCCCATAGGATGTCGCGTGCCACCCATCTATTTTTTTATATCTCGCGAGCTTAACCATGTCTCGTGAGGCTAGGTCATACTTCATTATTGCAATTACAGTAAATAAGTTATATAAATATGCATGTTATGTAAATGTGGGATATGAAGAGGAATGAATTGTAAAGGTTTCTGTTTCACGGAATTTTAGTTTATTTCACCCTAGATAAACCGGTGAAAGTCCAAAAATTGCACCCGGGGGGGAACAAACTAATTACGATTTCAAACACACCTCCCTCATCCAAACATCTACCGTAACAATGCCGTTTTAACTCATTCTTAATCTCGACAATAAGAACTACAAGGTGGAAATATAAACGCCGATATTTTATATTTTCGAGTTCTATTTATTGTTTTAATCAGCACCAAGGTAGATGTTGCAGAAAAAAACTCATTTTCGGTATTTGGATGATAATGACCCCCTACAGTAGTAGGCACTGACAGTAGTAGACACTGTAGGCCTACTAATGTGGGGGAAATATCACAGTTAACTCTCTTGTGAAGGTGCAATGAATTGTACTTAAGTATCATACATAATATATAAAATACATAAACTTAAAAGAATTTTGTTAAATACATGTACTATATTACATCATGTAAGTTTGCTTGAAATAAAAACACTAGCATTCTTTCGATAGAGACTCATGAATCATACTAAGCGCGCGTGTGTCGCATTATATGATCAAAGACAGTCTTTTTTTCTAAGGGGGGTGCACTGAGTGCATCTGTTCCTGTCGGTCAAGCCTTCACAAGGACATCAGTAATCTTACATGTATTTTAGGCTGAAGTCTAGCACTGTGGACACAGGCATGCTTGGTTTAGTCCGATCTTGTGCTGCCGTTGTCGCTGGCTCCGTTTTAAACCATCCATTCGTGTAACTTTTGTTCTCGGAACCAGTTTCTAATCTGACAGAATGCTGTCGTTCGTCACATTTACCGGACTGACTTTTTAACATATTATATTAAACTCAGCCGCACTACATGCAGAGGCGAAAGAATTGCTGTGCCTACTACTGTAGATAGACAGCTGCTAGTGCATGGAAGTCATTTGCAACTTTTAAGCTAAGGGCATGAACGATTTTAGGCTTGTATTTGATAAATTTCATTTATAATACTCTCATATCGTCAGGTTTTTCAGCCAGTTGCCATATGACTGCTAAGCGCATCCTGAGACCACCTGCCGGTCAGTTGTGAAGATAAATACCGTGACAAGGATGAGAAGAATATAAAACACTCGTTTCCACTCCAGGTGAATAAAACTCATTGCCTAAAGAGGGTGATAAATTTAAAATTTATATGGCTGGGTTGAATTCCTCCATAGTTCAGAATCGGTTTCGCAAAAGAGCTGAAGACCGAAATGTTTAGTCCGCTAAAAGGTTACTATTATGTAATTTTTTTCTTTTCTTTATATAGGCTATATATATGTCTATAACAAGCGCAATAATTTTTTTGTTGGGCAGGACCTCTTATTATTTCCGTTAGGGCCATTTAAAGTTTAGACCATCATTCGGGCTTAAGTTTTCTTGTGAAATTCGTCCAAGGTCAAATATTTATATGGCTTTTAGCAACGTTTACCAGTAAGAGGTCGCTTTATTATTTTTCTATTCAGCTCTGCTGATACTTGAGTTCATAAAAATTACATTTAAAGATATGAGATAAGTTCAAGTGAACAAAATAATGGAAAGAAAAGTGTTTTCATGTTCAAAAGATGTCATTTTAAGGATAACTGCACGTACAGCCTAGGTTGCAATGGTGAAATGGTGTTAATGACAGGAGTCAGGACTTGAGCGTCTACAACGCTTTCGACGCACCCTATACCAGGATCCCAGAGATATTTTTATTTGATACTGTATCCACAGACATTACTCTGGTTAAACCTGTGCTTATCTATGCACGCTCATAACACCGATACAGCCAGTTTCTACGGTTAGTTTTCCAATTTAATTTGCTGGTAACCAGGGGGAGGAAAGCCACTCAAGACATCTGTGAATTCTTAAAGGCAAAAAGGTTAGTACTGTCCTGTAACTGTACCTTATTCAAGAAGGATTGTTTAAAAGGGCCTGTTTAAAAATTACCACGAATCAAAGCATTATTTAGGTAAAACGTCCCTTTAACTACATTCCCTACTGGCTGTTAATATTACTATTCAATCAAAACTCTATCGTGTCAGCTGGTAAGATCATGCAGTATGATCACATAAAATTTCGTAGAATTATATACAAACGTTTTTCTGAAATAGAATATATACAATTTGTTTTTTTAAACCTTAGACGGATGTGCTTAACAGCACGGACAATTGGAAACTGGACGGTTTAACTAAGACGAAATATATAAAATATAATAAGAATCGGGATACAAATTAAGCATTAAACTTTATATCGTTAAAATTTCTTAAGAAAATCATGGAGATCGGGGAAGAGTCCACCGAAAACCATCGGACAGCGTTTATAAGAAGCAAATACTTCCAAACATTTGTTATATGTGCCGCGTTAATGGCCTTGGTAAGTATCGATAAATGAAAGAAAACTCTACTTCTTGTATTTTTCAGTGCATCGTTCTCTGCTGGTTGGCTAGATTAAAGATAAAATAAAACAGTACTAAGATATCAGCACCGGAGTGTTTTAATGATTTAATCACTAAAAATATCAGGTGAAATAGATAAGTTAATCGTTATATTGTACAGAGACATACAGCAGTTCTTTTCGAGTATTATTTTAGTTCCACGCACATTTTTTTGATACAGGGAGCAAACATGTCGGTCCAAGGGCCCACTCTGATTGATCTAAGAAAACAGATGGGTGCCTCGGTGCTCTCCGTCTCTTACGCCATCAGCGGTCGCTCAGTGGGTACAACACTTGGCGCCATCGGTGGCGGCTTCATCTACGATCACACCAATCACCACTTGTTCCTCAGTTTGGTCATGGTGCTGATGTCACTGATTTCCTTCCTCATTCCATTTACTACACACGTGTTTGAACTGGCGGCGTGTTTGGTGGTGCAGGGTCTAGCCATAGGGTCTCTGGATGCATGTAAGTGTATTGAGTCTATTGTTTATTCTCTGACATTTTGACATTGACATTAATGGTTTGGGAAGAAGTAATGTTTCCAAAAAAAAAAAAAAAAAAAAAAAAAAAAAAAAAAAGCCATGACGGGTGACGTCCCTAGCGTCCCAAACAAGCCCGAATGACTTGTCTTTGTTATAGACCAAAGGGTCACTGCCATAAATTTTCGTATTAAGATGAAATTTCACACGAAGGTCATATAAGGCCTGTGAAATATGTGGTGTAATTTTAATAATATCATATAGATGAAAACTAATTGATTACTGCTATTCCTTTGTATTTTCAGGTGGCAATGCTATGCTTCTAGCAATGTGGGGAAAAGACAGTAGTCCATACATTCAGTCTTTGCACTTCTCCTTTGCTCTTGGTGCATTCGTCGCACCTATACTAGCCGAGCCGCTATTGTCGAAAAAAGTAACAGTTCTCTTTAATAAAACATCAGTTTTGTCTCCATCAGATTATGCACACTTTCCTTTATATGCTTCGCACAACTTAAGTCACGAAGAACCGTTGTCATTGGATGTATTTAATGCTTCCACCTCGAATCTATCATCTTTCCTCAACGAGACGGGCATCATTTCGTCCCCTCACGCTGTGGAAAGGTGGACAGAATCTCGGATTATATTCGTTTACATCGCCGTTGGTATGATGGCGCTACTTTGTGCAGTACTATTTTCTGCGATGTGCCTTCAAGAACGAGCCATCTTCTACTGGAAAAAACAAGAAGTGGAGATGGATGAAAAACCCACCGTTGAGGAATCCCTGTGGTTTAAAGTACCGTTTTTGACCATTTTTGCGTTTTATTTTCTGTTGAATGTTGGTACGGAGGTGTCTTTCGGCGCCCTTGTAACGACATTTGGTTTTGAGACTCTACATTGGTCTAAACACAAAGCAGCGCACTTGTCTACCGTTTTCTGGGGCTTTCTAGCCGCCGGAAGAGGTTTTTCTATACTGGTATCAAAATTCACGAGTACTGCTGTAATGATTGTCGTTGATCTATCTTTGATGACATTTTCCACGGCATTGATGTCACTTTTAGTAAACAGTAGCGAGTATGTAATGTGGATCTGCACAGCTTTGTATGGTACTGGTATGGCTTCCGTTTCCCCTGCCGCAGTTTCATGGGCAGATAAATATGTACATATTACAGGGAAAGCTGCATCCTCGTTTACCGTAGGAGCTGCCATCGGAATGCTCGTTTTTCCCGCGGTGTTTGGTCATTTCTTCGAAATGAACGGGATGTATTTTGCATACATGTTATTCATCGGTGCACTAGGTACTGGAGGATTGTTCATCACTCTTTTTATCATTGCACGCTGCCATGGGGAAAGGCACCTTCCCACCCACCAGAAAGAGGAAAATGGTGTGGATGAAAGTCCCCAAGACGCCACAGAGACGACGAAACTATGCAAGTAATCTCATCTCCTGACCAGAAGTTTGTGTTTAGAATTAACTTTTTTAACAAACTTGTCAAATACACAAACAGTAGCTATAGCTATATTAAACTGATCTACTGTTCTCTATTTGGTTTGGAGAAATGGCACTTATGAACTGTTACCGGACATTTTGTGCCCAGAGGGTCACTTGGACAAACTGGACTTGCAAAACGTGCACCGTTTGTATGTTTTGAAATACGTTTCTTAGTATGGTGAAATTCAAATTCAGGGTCCCATAAAGATTGCCTATTCAGGTTCAACAGTAATAGTAACTATGAATAGTAACTATGGGTGCATCTTTGCTAATTATGGAGCGTTTCACATTTTATTTTGAAAAAAATTCAACATTTAGCACTGCAACTTTGTCCTTTTTGAAATAGCATAACTCATTAACCGTGTGGGTCGGGGCTAAGCCCACGAGTATTTCTAGCGCTCACACTGGTGGTACTAGTGAAACAACTTATGACAAACGCATCCAAGGAAAATATTACAACAGTTTATTCACAGTTTCAAGGATACACTTAGAAGTGTGTAGATATTTAATGTCGTCTTCATAACATACTGCGACTAATCCAATTTACCTATGTAAAGAAAATAACCCTTTATTAGACTTTGTGCTGGTAAAGGCTTTAAAGGTTTTTTTAAATGGCACTAACATCATTAAGTCTTTGTTTAAGCAAGCAAGATACCGTTGGCTTTTCCATTGATCATTTTAATAGCATCATTTGTTTTAATACTTTCAAGATAACTGACAGAAGACAGACGAGCGTGCATCCTTACATTTAGTTCAATTAAAATACGTTAAAAAATCACTTGAAGTTAAAGCTGTCCACAGTTCGAGTTTTTTGTTTTAGGATAAAATGAAAGTTTTAACTGGGAATACTGCTTGGTTGCGAAGAATCAAATATTGATACCCCTGATAAGAAATATGACGAAATATCTGGCACCAGGGTCACACATTTTGAAAGCGCCTTCCACTGAAATTTTGCATAATCTGAAACCATGTAATTATTTGCTGGGAGTTGACACATTCTGAGGCTTCTTCTCGTGTATTTTTCCAAAAAAATTAAGAAAGAAATGGACTCCCAACATTTAACTTGGTCATTGCTTTAAAACACCAGTAGCTCTTGGTTTATGCAGTAAGAAATTTACTCCGCTGCTACATCTCCATTTTTGATATCTTCATCTTCTCCCGTGGATACGATCTCTCTAAAAAAAAAATTTAATTAATAATAACAAAAACTTGCTTTGGTATTTCACCTCTACTGAAGGTTATATTTTACTACATCCTATTTTTGAATATGTTGCACTGGCGCTTCATTCCCAGGAGAAACAATATTCATCAACATTACTACCATTTAGTCAAGTATTACACCATCTTACATAATAACATCTTTATTTCCCAGTTCTTCACTGGTCCTTACACAAACAAACTGTCTGAGACGAAGTGTCACTTCACCAATTGCAATTACTGTAATTGACTCTGCAACAACTGCTTAATTCTTTTTTCTGGGTGTGTCCAAAAATAATCTTTTACCTTTCTAGCGAGTTCTCCTCGTCGTTCCTTTTCCTGGTTTTGCTGGGACTGGGCGACTTCCGCCACGATCTCTCACCAGATCTACAGACCAAAATAATATCCANATAAAATGTTTGGGAAGAGATAAATTTTTCAAAAAAAAAAAAAAAAAAAAAAAAAAAAAAAAAAAAAAATTGCCATGACGGGTGACGTCCCTGGCGTCCCAAACAAGCCCGAATGACTTGTCTTTGTTATAGGCCAAAGGGTCAGTTTAGTGCCATGAATTTTCGTATTAAGATGAAATTTCACACGAAGGTCATATAAGGCCTGTGAAATATGTGGTGTAATTTTAATAATATCATATAGATGAAAACTAATTAATTACTGCTATTTCTTTGTATTTCCAGGTGGCAATGCTATGCTTCTAGCGATGTGGGGAAAAGACAGCAGTCCATACATTCAGTCTTTACACTTCTCCTTTGCTTTTGGTGCATTCGTCGCACCTATACTAGCCGAGCCGCTATTGTCGAAAAAAGTAACAGTTCTCTTTAATAAGACATCAGGTTTATCTCCATCAGATTATGCACACTTTTCTCCCTATCCCTCGCACAACTTAAGTCACGAAGAACCGTTGTCATTGGATGTATTTAATGCTTCCACCTCGAATCTATCATCTTTCCTCAACGAGACGAGCATCATTTCGTCCCCTCACGCTGTGGATAGGTGGACAGACTCTCGGATTATATTCATTTACATCGCCGTTGGTATGATGTCACTACTTTGTGCAATACTATTCTCTGCAATGTGCCTTCAAGACCGAGCCATCTTCTACTGGAAAAAACAAGAAGTGGAGATGGATGAAAAACCCACCGTTGAGGAATCCCTGTGGTTTAAAGTACCGTTTTTGATCATTTTTGCTTTTTATTTTCTGTTGAATGTTGGTACGGAGGTGTCTTTCGGCGCCCTTGTAACGACATTTGGTTTTGAGACTCTACATTGGTCTAAACATAAAGCAGCGCACTTGTCTACCGTTTTCTGGGGCTTTCTAGCCGCCGGAAGAGGTTTTTCTATACTGGTATCAAAATTCACGAGTCCTGCTGTAATGATTGTCGTTGATCTATCTTTGATGGCATTTTCCACGGCGCTGATGTCACTTTTAGTAAATAGTAGCGAGTATGTAATGTGGATCTGCACAGCTTTGTACGGTATTGGTATGGCTTCCGTTTCCCCTGCCGCAGTTTCATGGGCAGATAAATATGTACATATTACAGGGAAAGCTGCATCCTCGTTTACCGTAGGAGCTGCCATAGGAATGCTCGTTTTTCCTGCACTGTTTGGTCATTTCTTCGAAATGAACGGAATGTATTTTGCATACATGTTATTCATCGGTGCACTAGGTACTGGAGGATTGTTCATAACTCTTTTTATCATTGCACGTTGCCATGGGGAAAGACACCTTCCCACCCACCAGAAAGAGGAAAATGGTGTGGATGAACGTCACCAAGACGCCACAGAGACGACGAAACTATGCAAGTAATCTTATCTCCTGACCAGAAGTTTGTGTTAAGAATTAACTTTTTTAACAAACTTGTCAAATACACAAACAGTAGCTATAGCTATATTAAACTGATCTACTGTTCTCTATTTGGTTTGGAGAAATGGCACTTATGAACTGTTACCGGACATTTTGTGCCCAGAGGGTCACTTGGACAAACTGGACTTGCAAAACGTGCACCGTTTATGTTTTGAAATACGTTTCTTAGTATGGTGAAATTCAAATTCAGGGTCACATAAAGATTGCCTATTCAGGTTCAACAGTAATGGTAACTATGAATAGTAACTATGGGTGCATCTTTGCTAATTATGGAGCGTTTCATATTTTATTTTGAAAAAAATTCAACATTTAGCACTGCAACTTTGTCCTTTTTGAAATAGCATAACTCATTAACCGTGTGGGTCGGGGCTAAGCCCACGAGTATTTCTAGCGCTCACACTGGTGGTACTAGTGAAACAACTTATGACAAACACATCCAAGGAAAATATTACAACAGTTTATTCACAGTTTCAAGGATACACTTAGAAGTGTGTAGATATTTAATGTCGTCTTCATAACATACTGCGACTAATCCAATTTACCTATGTAAAGAAAATAACCCTTTATTAGACTTTGTGCGGGTAAAGGCTTTAAAGGTTTTTTTTTAAATGGCACTAACATCATTAAGTCTTTGTTTAAGCAAGCAAGATACCGTTGGCTTTTCCATTGATCATTTTAATAGCATCATTTGTTTTAATGCTTTCAAGATAACTGACAGAAGACAGACGAGCGTGCATCCTTACATTTAGTTCAATTAAATTACGTTAAAAATCACTTGAAGTTAAAGCTGTCCACAGTTCGAGTTTTTTGTTTTAGGATAAAATGAAAGTTTTAACTGGGAATACTGCTTGGTTGCGAAGAATCAAATATTGATACCCCTGATAAGAAATATGACGAAATATCTGGCACCAGGGTCACACATTTTGAAAGCGCCTTCCACTGAAATTTTGCATAATCTGAAACCATGTAATTATTTGCTGGGAGTTGACACATTCTGAGACTTCTTCTCGTGTATTTTTCCAAAAAAATTAAGAAAGAAATGGACTCCCAACATTTAACTTGGTCATTGCTTTAAAACACCAGTAGCTCTTGGTTTATGCAGTAAGAAATTTACTCCGCTGCTACATCTCCATTTTTGATATCTTCATCTTCTCCCGTGGATACGATCTCTCTAAAAAAAAATTTAATTAATAATAACAAAAACTTGCTTTGGTATTTCACCTCTACTGAAGGTTATCTTTTACTACATCCTATTTTTGAATATGTTGCACTGGCGCTTCATTCCCAGGAGAAACAATATTCATCAACATTACTACCATTTAGTCAAGTATTACATCATCTTACATAATAACATCTTTATTTCCCAGTTCTTCACTGGTCCTTACACAAACAAACTGTCAAAGACGAAGTGTCACTTCACCAATTGCAATTACTGTAATTGACTCTGCAACAACTGCTTAATTCTTTTTTCTGGGTGTGTCCAAAAATAATCTTTTACCTTTCTAGCGAGTTCTCCTCGTCGTTCCTTTTCCTGGTTTTGCTGGGACTAGGCGACTTCCGCCACGATCTCTCACCAGATCTACAGACCAAAATAATATCAATATTTTAAATATCCCTATGTTTGATATTGTAGTTGTATCTTTTATCAATAACAATGTAAGTTAAAAAGAAAACCAAGCTTTGAATGAGTAAAAAATGAAGTATTTAATCACTACAAATTTGGTACATCATTAAAATCACTTGTATATATTCAGTGAAAAAGAAAGTTAACCGCACTAAAGTCTAAATATAACTGCATTCCGTATTCGAGTTTATTACACAGAAGTGGCGATTCCATAACTTTGATAAGTGTAGTAATGAACCATTATCACACCACTGCAAAAATTCAGTCCGCACCTTGACCTTTCCTTTCTAGATCTCGACCTTGACCTGGTTCTGGAGCGTCTGCCTCCACCTCTCCTGCTTCGCCTTGACCTTGACCTACTCCTGGAACGTCTGCGGTTATGTCTAGAGCGAGATCTGGACCTGGGAAAAGGGAAAAAAAGTGTCCATTTCAAACTCTACTAGATACACCCTTTCACCCCTAATCCTAAACTCACTACGTTTTCATGCTGTAAAGAATGCAAATTTAGAACAAAAATAAAAGAGATGGGGGACAAAAAAAGAAGCTAACCATTTTCATACATAAATATAAATAATACAAATATGGAAAGCAATAAAACATTTTATGGAAACCCATTTTTCATCCTGGCTCAAGAGAGCGGAAACAGACCTTGAGCGTCTGGATCCAGAATCGTATGAACGCGATCGCCGTCTTCTGGGTCTCTTCTGTCGCGAGGTTCTGGACCCTGATCTGGACCTCGATCGGGATTTTGAGCTATTGGAGTAAGACCTGAAAGATGAATAATTTCCGTGTCCTGGTTAGATAATTGCCCACTAGTCAAGCCCAACCGTAGCCACCATGCTTTTTCCTACAGTGTCCTTTTGGTAAAAAAAAATATCTGAAAGTTATATAAGTCAACAAATTTCCAAGAGATGGTAAGACCGGAATAAAACAGCACGCAAAGACATGTCGTGTCTTCATGTTTATTTATCTTTTATGGAGTCCTTTTTTTTTGTATTTCATACCTTCTCCGTCTACTTCCACTCCTGCTGCGACGGCGTCTATTCCTACTACGACTTCGAGAACGGCTTCTCTTCCTCCTGCTCCGACTTCCACTACGGGATCTTTTGGCACGGCTCCTGCTTCGACTACGACTGGGTTTCCTAGAAGCCTCTCTGCTGTGAGCCTCCATCTCTCTTTCTTTTCTCCTGTCTTCTCGTTCCTTTTCACGCTTTTCCCTTCTTTCCGCAACACTTTTCTGTAAAACCAACAAACATGACACTTATTATCAGCTAGAGGCGCAGAAATATTCCTGGCTATATACCACATGATGCTTAGGGTGCATCAGTGGGATAATACCACGAAGAAATTATTTACGTTGAAATGGAAATTCTACGTAAAAGTTACCAATGAAAAGGAGACTGACTGAAGAACTTAGCAATTAATGTGCAAAGACAAGGCATACCGTTACATGCACTCGAGGTGAAGAAGATGTCGGCAGGGTATATTTATTATCAATTATTCATTTCAAAAACTGAAACAAAGACCCTTTCAAATTTTCTCCCATTTACTATAAATCAGCATTTACACAAGACTTTAAGGGCTTTTTATGTGTAAAGCTCCTAAAGAAGATTAAAATCCACAAAGTAATCTGGTGACAAAATTAGTGATATATTTACTTATGCAAATCTACTTTCCATAATCTAAATACGACAACAGCATTAAGACAGAAAGAGAACCTTGAGGTCCTCCAGTTTGCTTCTGATCGTTATAAAACCCAGATGAAGTTTGCCACCGAAGTGATCGGCCAGACGTCTGTCGTTGTCATGGATACCCAAATACGCAGAACAGACTTCACACACACNATATTTTAAATATCCCTATGTTTGATATTGTAGTTGTATCTTTTATCAATAACAATGTAAGTTAAAAAGAAAACCAAGCTTTGAATGAGTAAAAAATGAAGTATTTAATCACTACAAATTTGGTACATCATTAAAATCACTTGTATATATTCAGTGAAAAAGAAAGTTAACCGCACTAAAGTCTAAATATAACTGCATTCCGTATTCGAGTTTATTACACAGAAGTGGCGATTCCATAACTTTGATAAGTGTAGTAATGAACCATTATCACACCACTGCAAAAATTCAGTCCGCACCTTGACCTTTCCTTTCTAGATCTCGACCTTGACCTGGTTCTGGAGCGTCTGCCTCCACCTCTCCTGCTTCGCCTTGACCTTGACCTACTCCTGGAACGTCTGCGGTTATGTCTAGAGCGAGATCTGGACCTGGGAAAAGGGAAAAAAAGTGTCCATTTCAAACTCTACTAGATACACCCTTTCACCCCTAATCCTAAACTCACTACGTTTTCATGCTGTAAAGAATGCAAATTTAGAACAAAAATAAAAGAGATGGGGGACAAAAAAAGAAGCTAACCATTTTCATACATAAATATAAATAATACAAATATGGAAAGCAATAAAACATTTTATGGAAACCCATTTTTCATCCTGGCTCAAGAGAGCGGAAACAGACCTTGAGCGTCTGGATCCAGAATCGTATGAACGCGATCGCCGTCTTCTGGGTCTCTTCTGTCGCGAGGTTCTGGACCCTGATCTGGACCTCGATCGGGATTTTGAGCTATTGGAGTAAGACCTGAAAGATGAATAATTTCCGTGTCCTGGTTAGATAATTGCCCACTAGTCAAGCCCAACCGTAGCCACCATGCTTTTTCCTACAGTGTCCTTTTGGTAAAAAAAAATATCTGAAAGTTATATAAGTCAACAAATTTCCAAGAGATGGTAAGACCGGAATAAAACAGCACGCAAAGACATGTCGTGTCTTCATGTTTATTTATCTTTTATGGAGTCCTTTTTTTTTGTATTTCATACCTTCTCCGTCTACTTCCACTCCTGCTGCGACGGCGTCTATTCCTACTACGACTTCGAGAACGGCTTCTCTTCCTCCTGCTCCGACTTCCACTACGGGATCTTTTGGCACGGCTCCTGCTTCGACTACGACTGGGTTTCCTAGAAGCCTCTCTGCTGTGAGCCTCCATCTCTCTTTCTTTTCTCCTGTCTTCTCGTTCCTTTTCACGCTTTTCCCTTCTTTCCGCAACACTTTTCTGTAAAACCAACAAACATGACACTTATTATCAGCTAGAGGCGCAGAAATATTCCTGGCTATATACCACATGATGCTTAGGGTGCATCAGTGGGATAATACCACGAAGAAATTATTTACGTTGAAATGGAAATTCTACGTAAAAGTTACCAATGAAAAGGAGACTGACTGAAGAACTTAGCAATTAATGTGCAAAGACAAGGCATACCGTTACATGCACTCGAGGTGAAGAAGATGTCGGCAGGGTATATTTATTATCAATTATTCATTTCAAAAACTGAAACAAAGACCCTTTCAAATTTTCTCCCATTTACTATAAATCAGCATTTACACAAGACTTTAAGGGCTTTTTATGTGTAAAGCTCCTAAAGAAGATTAAAATCCACAAAGTAATCTGGTGACAAAATTAGTGATATATTTACTTATGCAAATCTACTTTCCATAATCTAAATACGACAACAGCATTAAGACAGAAAGAGAACCTTGAGGTCCTCCAGTTTGCTTCTGATCGTTATAAAACCCAGATGAAGTTTGCCACCGAAGTGATCGGCCAGACGTCTGTCGTTGTCATGGATACCCAAATACGCAGAACAGACTTCACACACACGCAGCTTCTGTTGCTGATAACTGGATGCAGGCATGGAATTGCGATACTCTATCTGTAGAGAACAATGAAAACACACACTCGTTTAATCTGTGATGTCCTTATCTATATCTGTACAGCATATCATGCAAAACGAGCACTAAATCACACTGTATGGAAACCAGGACTAGCATCAAACACATCAAAACATCACAACAACAATACAATAAGATGCCAATTTGAAAGAATAAAGCCCTCTACATTTATGATTAGTCAGAGAAAAATGGTATTTGAAGTTTTTTATTAGCTACTACTTACAATTTTATAACAGATTGAAAGCCCAGGGGTTTCAGTTTAATTTGTACAGTTATTACTATGTAATTTTCTTTTTAGTAAGTACATATCATATAGTGATTTATAATACATCATCAAGGAGAAACCTTAACAAACCTCTGCCTGTTGTTTCTTTTTCTTGAGTTCTTCCATCTCCTCGAGAAGTTTCATGGACTCGTCCACCAGTCCCTGGGCCCCTAGCTCCTCAGACTTGGCCAGTTTGGTGCCCACCTCCTCTCCCAATACATGGATTATCTCAGCCTGGAAGTAATATGTGAAAGGAAATAGGCAACAATAAAATAGAAATATTATTGAAAGTTCTTTGAAGAAAATGAAGTAATACTTTAAAATATACGAATGATAAATGTTACACACATTGGGGTTCCATAGGAAACTGTCACAATATGTCTTTTAGTTTGAATGTACAATACTAATTAATTTATCTTGGGCCAAGGAAGACAATTTTTTAAATCTTAATATTTGAACCAACTTTCCATCCAATGTTCTTTTAAGACAGGCCCCAGCTCTATTCTTCACAAGTGAAAGTTGTAAAAACTGAAAATCCTGAAAACATTGCTTGCACTTCCTCTATCATTTTGACTGAATTAAAATAAATAAATTAATTAATTTTTAAAAAAAATGAAGACTGAAAATGTATTACTTAGTCCTGTTCTCACCTTGGAATTGGCCTCATCACTGAGCTCCTGCTGAGTTTCTTTGAGCCTCTTCTTGGCCTGCTCCGTCCTTCTGTCACAGTCTGCAATGAAACTGGACAGGTGTTCCATGGCCTGAAATAGGGAAATAATTGAAGATTTAAATATGCAAAACTGCTGATGCACTCCATTTGCCAGTTTTCACTGGGAAAGTTATTTGCCATAACATCTTTAATCTGGCTGTCCTACCCATACACACCATAAAATATTTAGATGTAGCAAAAATTATCCAAACATCAAATGGCATAATATGTTTGTAATACAATGCGCTCCATTTAAGTTAAAACCTGCAAAGCTTGGTTTGACTTAGTACTTAACATCAAGTCACAAACACACTGGTGGGCGTGCGCACACACAGACTACTGATTTACTATCATTTCTCTTACATCAATGTCATAATAGTAATCTTTGTGCCTGGATGCCTTTTCAAAGTCAGCTCTAAGTGCCAGATCATGAATCTTTGGACAGTCTCCCAAATCCATCCTCTGAAAAACAGCAACAACAATGAAATTATAATACAAAGAAATTACTCCTTGCATATATGCAGTTGTAGGTCTCAGGAACAACTTTTTCTCAGTATTTCAGAAAATAAAATTAAACTCTCAATTTCAAAACTTTGCTTAACCCGTTAAAAATATAAATAGTCATGAATAACAGCATAATATAAAATTCTAGCACAAAGATGTACATAAACAAGCATCAAGCCATCAGCTCAAATATTTCCCAAATGAAAACTTTTTTGGGTTCAGAAAATGAAAATTTCTTTTTGAAATATTTCCCTTAGTGTTAACTTCAATTTACAGTTAACAATTTAACTGTTTGGTTGAAACAACAATTGCACTCAAAGGAGTTTAGTTATGAATTTTAAAAACTCACCGTACTGGCCAGGATGTCATGTGGACAGCAATTCATCAGAAAACTTTTGCACACGCGGGGGTCATCAAACGTCACTTTAAACTTGTTGTTTTCACCTGAAAATAGATGAAAACAAGTTTGACTCTTGCTTTTTAATGAGACAAAGTATCAAAACAGGACTTGCTATATAGACAAAGTAAGACTATACTTTAAATATTTGCTCTTTCTGTTGCCCAGACACCTCCCATTTTTGTTACAGGAAAAAAGGATTCAAAATTTAAAAAAAAGGGCATGTTCACAGTGGTAAAAGAGTGGGATCAAAAGTTAAAGTTATAACATCTGACCATATGATGTCAGGCTGCTCCATGCAAATACAGTTTTGCAACATGATGGAAAGTGCATAGTGCTGAGGTGGATAAGTATGCCTGAGATTTCCACACACTTTTAACCTAGAAATTCTTTGCCTCACTGAAATGAGGCAAGCAGTACCAAACTTCGTGGAAAACTCTAGAAGCATGCAAATATTTTATTCCAATGTCCAAATCTTTCAAACTGGAGGTCACTAACTGATTAACCCCATTTTTTCCAATTAATCGCAGATAACAAATATTGTTCTAAATGATAAAGTTTGATGACAAGAAAAAATTCAACAATTTACCACCTAAAACTGCATGTTTTTATACTGACAAAGACTGGCATATCTCACACATACATCCATTGGTTTGATTGGTTTGATGGTTGCAATTTATACTCCAGCCCGACAGAGGAAAATGTACAGATCTAAAGTCAGCAAAAACATACAGCTCTAGATTTATGAATGTGCTTTCTCTTGGTTGCACATTGCATTACTTGTCTAATAAGAAGACATGTTATTTTAAACCCATTCCCAATAACAATAAAACATAATAATAACAGTCATTTCAAGAAGTTATACACACTGCGCCAGATACACACGGTTTCCTATGGCTTCTTTTTCAGGCAGGCACAGGGTCTTAAAAAACATGATTCTGCTCCATGATATCGCTGAAACAAATATTACCTACACAAAATCATTACCTACAAATTGCAGAATAATCAAATACAGTTTGATGGAATATACTCAAATAACTATCTTATTACAACTACCAAATTAACCTTTTGCCTGAAATCTTACCAAATATTACCTTTAATTTTCTAATGTTTTTTCTCAAATTCCCATCAAACTGAGTAATATTTATAATCTACGTTATTTATTGTAACCAGGTTTCCCAAGTTCTGAGCCTGATTATCTTCACCAGCCTAGAAATTGTAGCAAAACTTCCACATCTTTCACAATGAGGAGACTGGAAAACTGTAAGCTTTTCTTTAAAATATCCATGACACTCTGTCTCTAAATATTGATAACTAAAATAACATAAAACTTTTTTTTTCATGAAATATATTTGAACTCACGGCTTGTGGACCCATGCCCCCTAGCTGTTATATCACCTGGGGTTACAGCTCATAACATAGTTCCCTTAAAAAATACGGGAGTGAAAGTCAGTTTACAAAAGCAGAGCACAGTCCACTTAACCAAATGCTGAAATAAATACTTAATTATAAGAAATACATGGCATTGATATGAACGTGAATACGCTAACACGCTCTCCGTTACTTAGGATATTCGTAAGGAATTTTAAGGCAAATGTACTTAAAATATAAAAATGTTGTTAGAAAGACACTTTTGTCAAAAGCATGGTAAATGATGGTTTACCAAAATTATTCAACGTAGTTATTTATCAACCCCCTCTTGGAAAAAAAATCGTAATTGGAAAACCCACCAGACAATAACTCAAAGAAAATAAAATGAAGAATTAAGTACTTATCCGGATTATGAATTATCTTAATCTCTATGTCACGCAACTCACCATCTCTCCCGGTACCCATAAGCTGATCGAGCATATTCTTCATTTGCTCGTGAGCCGACATTTTTATGGTTTCGTGCACAAAGCTCAACCATACGTGCACGAAAAAGCAAATGGCGGTGAATCATGTGGCCTCATTGTGAAATCAGAGCAAGGTTAGGGACGATTGCAGTAGAGGAGACTGAGAGGCAGGAGGCATTCTGCGTAAATCCTAGGTTTGGCCTATCAGGGAATTATACCGATATAATTCCCTGGGCCTATATAGGGCCTACCTAGTGTGAAGAGAATTTCGTGAATATTTAACTTAGATTTATGCTTTTAAAAATAATGAAGTGTAATAAATTGATATGGATGATTCATTACCTTCAGACACACATCCCTTCCACAGTATTTAACTCCTACGGGCCACGGTAGAAAGAAATTGATAGACCAATGAATGAGTGACGCGTGAAATTTTGTTATTGCTTTTTAGGTGTGCTACTCTTATAATATCAATATATACCAATATGTATTTAAATCAAATAACAACCATATTTCAACTTATAATTGTGAGGGTATTTGATGCATGTTTTGGGAAGAAATATGCGAATAAAACTATTTCTCGTCTTAGCGCCGGTTTTTTTCTCACACAGGTAAAGGGGATTAGGTTAATACTAGCACATGTATAGCACATACATAATCAGGAAATCAGGATGAAATTGATTAATGAAATGATATACTTTAGGGAAAATAACAAAATGAAAATAAAATAAAGAGACAATATGCACTGTAGAACAGATAGGACCGATCAAGGTGGTGAAGAACGGAAGGGCGGCGCGAGAAAGGGTCGGGCGTAACAAAAATACTTAAGCGGTGAGTCCAAATAAAAGATGTTTTTTTTTTTCATTTGAAAATAACTTTGTTGAAGAGATTTTAAAATCTATTTTCATAACCTTGTGATAATCTTAATAATTGGCACAGTGCACAAAAGTAGGGTTAAGTGTTTAAACTTTCGCAGTAATGTCTAAACAAAGTTCAATCAAGCACAAAAAAATGGCTGCAATCATTTAATCAAAACGTGCCTAAAATTTCGAGGAATTTTTTATTTCGCAAACACTATCGTTTCTGCTTCATGTGTAACATTTGCATAATCAAGATGTTGCTTTTGCCCTTCATTGCTTCCTTTAGTAATAAAATCATGCCTTTTTGTATTTTTTGCCATAGAATACAAATTTAAGTACTTTCCAAACAATAACTAAAGGCAAAACGCAAGCTAAATAATACAAACAACTCACTACAGTTTTGTATGCAATGACATCCATTAGATAATACTGATACCAGTTCAGACTGTAAGCAGCCTGAGAGTGAAAGTGAAGAGTTCCATTGTGTCGTATAACATACTTAATCCAATACAACAGTTCCTCCTGTCCCGACATTGGGGTGTCTTGTAGAAGTTTGGACATCTTAACCGCGTTCTCTTTATACGATTTGTCGTTTAGGACCTTGAGAATAGTGCTTTCTAATTCTTCTTCATTCAGGGTGCCAAAGTTTATAATTTCACCCATTTTCGCACGCTCCTTCAATTTCCTTGCATGGTGGTGTTGATCCCAAAGAAGTGGAATTGCAACCACGGGAACAGCATGGTACAGCGTTTCCCACGTGCTACTTACTCCACAGTGGGTGATGAACAGTTTGGTGTTAGGATGGGCAAGAAGATCATTCTGTGGCAGCCATTCTACCAGGTGTGTGTTACTTCCCAGAGACTTAGGAGGAACACCTTGATAACGCCAGATAACAGTCTGTGAGAGCTTGGAAAATACTTTGGCCAAAATCTCTGCTTTGTGAACATCGAACGTCGGCACGAGTGTTCCAAAACTCATCACAATAACTCCGTTAGTGGCAGCAGATACAATATTCTCAAAGTCTTTTGATAACGGCTTAGGCGGTGTCCACAGAAGTCCAGATATAGGTATTACGTGCGGCATGACAGGTCGCGGGTAGTCAAACGCAAAGTTGACGTTGGCGGCAATCATTAGAGACACTCGTTCATACGAGTGCTTTGCATGTGGCCAGTCGTTGTTTGGAAGATGCTTTGCTTTCATTTTTTCAATATGATCTATTCTATCGCTGCCCCATTGTTCCATATCAAGCATCATATCGGTATTTTGCACTCTTTCCCAAAATGTCATGTTATCGGAGAAGTCACTGAGCATGTATGGCGTATAAGAATAAAATGTTGGCAGCTTAAATACGAACCAAACTTCAAAAAACCCAAAATTTGAATAAGCAATGGAAGGAATGCGAAGATATTCATTCAAAATAGGACCAGAGCCAACATTGCCAAAGTCAAAGAACAACAGATCAAACTTTTCTTCTTTCAGTCTATTCAAGATGTCTTTGCTACCAAGAAGAACATCGGACAGTGTATAGTCCAAGTTATCCATTTCTCTAATGAATGGCAACGCATCTTTCTCGATGTAATGAAGTGATCTATTCAGGTCCAATTCTCCCCCCTTATTGATTTGTAGTTCAGGCATTTTGTACCTGATCAAGTTGACGCCATCTATATTCCTTTTAGGTGCATAGTGGTGAGAGACCAACATGGTGACGTGGAAGTCGTGTTCCGTCAGCATGACAGCGATCTTCTCCAAATTCATGGTTCTCGAATTGTAAAAATTTGAAAAAGGAAATATCAATATCTTCTTTTTACCAGCGCCGCTGCATGTTCGAGGCACATTCACTAGTAGAAAAACAAACCAAAGAACTGCAAAGCCAGCCCAGGAGAAAGACATTTTAAAAAATTTACAGCCACAATTGCCTCCTCGAAACCGTGAAGTGGTTTCATTGCATGTCCCACTTACAGCGTGTAAGGTCAATCACCGATAAAGATAAGGTTTGCATGAGGCACGTGAAACTCTCTCATGTACACGTGAGTGACAGATGGCACAAGGCAACTGTTAACATGCAAAAGCAAGACAAACTGCATTTATTGGACATTTCTTTTCAAAAATTCACTAGCCTTTATTTCATTAACTTGTCTTTTAATTTATGGTGGTTATGCGCAGTTAAATAAATGTATTTTGTTGCACGATCCTTTCTCTGCTAATATGCTCAGCTGGGTCATTCCCAGCAAACACAGCACGTCATTATAATGTTACCATAACTTTTACATAACCAAAAAACGTTATAACAGCCATTCCACGAAAAAGGGTACAATTCTGAANAAAAAACCCAAAATTTGAATAAGCAATGGAAGGAATGCGAAGATATTCATTCAAAATAGGACCTGAGCCAACATTGCCAAAGTCAAAGAAAAACAGATCAAACTTTTCTTCTTTCAGTCTATTCAAGATGTCTTTGCTACCAAGAAGAACATCGGACAGTGTATAGTCCAAGTTATCCATTTCTCTAATGAATGGCAACGCATCTTTCTCGATGTAATGAAGTGATCTATTCAGGTCCAATTCTCCCCCCTTATTGATTTGTAGTTCAGGCATTTTGTACCTGATCAAGTTGACGCCATCTATATTCCTTTTAGGTGCATAGTGGTGAGAGACCAACATGGTGACGTGGAAGTCGTGTTCCGTCAGCATGACAGCGATCTTCTCCAAATTCATGGTTCTCGAATTGTAAAAATTTGAAAAAGGAAATATCAATATCTTCTTTTTACCAGCGCCGCTGCATGTTCGAGGCACATTCACTAGTAGAAAAACAAACCAAAGAACTGCAAAGCCAGCCCAGGAGAAAGACATTTTAAAAAATTTACAGCCACAATTGCCTCCTCGAAACCGTGAAGTGGTTTCATTGCATGTCCCACTTACAGCGTGTAAGGTCAATCACCGATAAAGATAAGGTTTGCATGAGGCACGTGAAACTCTCTCATGTACACGTGAGTGACAGATGACACAAGGCAACTGTTAACATGCAAAAGCAAGACAAACTGCATTTATTGGACATTTCTTTTCAAAAATTCACTAGCCTTTATTTCATTAACTTGTCTTTTAATTTATGGTGGTTATGCGCAGTTAAATAAATGTATTTTGTTGCACGATCCTTTCTCTGCTAATATGCTCAGCTGGGTCATTCCCAGCAAACACAGCACGTCATTATAATGTTACCATAACTTTTACATAACCAAAAAACGTTATAAACCTTCTGTGTTTGCCGGTGTACCATGGAAACCTGACTCCACCAAAATGTGACTCCCCAGTCAAATCTTCGTAATGAAAATGTGACTCCCCCCATGAATTTTGACTCCCCCCACAAAACTTACTAAATCTCACTTTATTTGAGTATATGGCTTTTACATTGTAGTATGCATAATGGAGGATACATTGGCGTTTTTTGTTAGTTTACAGGTGAAAATTCTCATGAGATTTTACCACCCAATGACTCCCCTATGAAAAAGGTATTTATTTGATATTTGGTGATCATTTCAAGATCTTTCCTTTAAGTATACTATAACAAGAATATATTGGAAATATCTGAAAGTTTGGTAGTAAAATATTGGGCACAAAAAATGAAAAAAATCCTCACCACTATACACCTAAAAGGAATATAGATGGCGTCAACCTAATCAGGTACAAAATGCCTGAACTACAAATCAACAAAGGAGGAGAATTGGACCTGAATAGATCACTTCATTACATCGAGAAAGATGTGATGCCATTTATGAGGCAAGTAGATGAGATGGACTTTACACTTTGCGAGGTTCTTTTAAGTAGCAGCAACCTTTTGGACAGGCTAAGAGACGGAAAGTTTGATCTGTTATTCTTTGACTTTGGCAACGTTGGCTCAGGTCCAATTATAAATGAATACCTTGGCATTCCATCCATTTCGTATTCTAATTATGGGTTTATGGAAACTTGGACTATATTCAAACAATCGACGTTTTATTCTTTTACGCCAGGTGTTTTCAGCCCTTTTTCAGATAATATGACATTTTGGGAAAGAGTGCAAAATACAGACATGCTTCTGGATATGGAAAAATGGGCCGGCGGTAGAATAGATCATATTGAAAAAATGAAGGCCAAGTACCTTCCAAACAACAACTGGCCATATGCTAAGCACTCATATGAACGAGTGTCTCTAATGATTGCCGCCAATGTCAATTTTGCGTTTGACTACCCGAGATCTGTCATGCCGCACGTGATACCAATTTCTGGACTTCTTTGGACACCGCCTAAGCCGTTATCAAAAAGTATGAAATATGACACAATGGAACTCTTCACTTTCAGTCTCATGCTGCTTACAATCTGAACTGGTATCAGTATTATCTATTGGATGTCATTGCTTACAAAGCTGCGGCGAGATGTTTGCATTATTTCGTTTACCTTCTTCCAGTAGTAATTCTTTGGAAAGCACGCCTGATTATTGCGCCCTTGAANGTGGAATGGCTGATAAACCTGTGTTTGCCGGTGTACCATGGAAACCTGACTCCACCAAAATGTGACTCCCCAGTCAAATCTTCGTAATGAAAATGTGACTCCCCCCATGAATTTTGACTCCCCCCACAAAACTTACTAAATCTCACTTTATTTGAGTATATGGCTTTTACATTGTAGTATGCATAATGGAGGATACATTGGCGTTTTTTGTTAGTTTACAGGTGAAAATTCTCATGAGATTTTACCACCCAATGACTCCCCTACGAAAAAGGTATTTATTTGATATTTGGTGATCATTTCAAGATCTTTCCTTTAAGTATACTATAACAAGAATATATTGGAAATATCTGAAAGTTTGGTAGTAAAATATTGGGCGCAAAAAATGAAAAAAAATCCTCACCACTATGCACCTAAAAGGAATATAGATGGCGTCAACCTAATCAGGTACAAAATGCCTGAACTACAAATCAACAAAGGAGGAGAATTGGACCTGAATAGATCACTTCATTACATCGAGAAAGATGTGATGCCATTTATGAGGCAAGTAGATGAGATGGACTTTACACTTTGCGAGGTTCTTTTAAGTAGCAGCAACCTTTTGGACAGGCTAAGAGACGGAAAGTTTGATCTGTTATTCTTTGACTTTGGCAACGTTGGCTCAGGTCCAATTATAAATGAATACCTTGGCATTCCATCCATTTCGTATTCTAATTATGGGTTTATGGAAACTTGGACTATATTCAAACAATCGACGTTTTATTCTTTTACGCCAGGTGTTTTCAGCCCCTTTTCAGATAATATGACATTTTGGGAAAGAGTGCAAAATACAGACATGCTTCTGGATATGGAAAAATGGGCCGGCGGTAGAATAGATCATATTGAAAAAATGAAGGCCAAGTACCTTCCAAACAACAACTGGCCACATGCTAAGCACTCATATGAACGAGTGTCTCTAATGATTGCCGCCAACGTGAATTTTGCGTTTGACTACCCGAGACCTGTCATGCCGCACGTGATACCAATTTCTGGACTTCTTTGGACACCGCCTAAGCCGTTATCAAAAAGTATGTAATATGACACAATGGAACTCTTCACTTTCAGTCTCATGCTGCTTACAATCTGAACTGGTATCAGTATTATCTATTGGATGTCATTGCTTACAAAGCTGCAGCGAGATGTTTGCATTATTTCGTTTACCTTCTTCCAGTAGTAATTCTTTGGAAAGCACTTAAAGTTCTGTTCATTTGTGAAAAACCTTAACACGCCTGATTATTGCGCCCTTGAAAAGTAAAAGATTTAGAGGCCAAAACGTCATTTAAAGTGATGAATCATTTAGTCTGTACATCACTGTTAGCTCATTACCTGTATCAGAACGGGGCAGTTGAATTTGTTAGTTTCATTTGAGAGAGACTGAGCTAATAAATTATTAATATAATTAGTAAATAGATTGAAAATGAAGAAGAATGAAGATGTTGATAATACGTTAGCAATTAAACATCGGTGGATTTTCATTTATTCATTTGTCGTGTCAGTTAGTGTACAGAATTTAAACATTTCTTAAAATGAAGCCAACGAAGACCAAGAAAATTACTAGAATAACCGAAGACATATTAGGCTAACTGTCAAATTTGAACTGTTACATGATACCTCCACGCACCTCGGTCATTGCCATATAATTTTTGATATTTTTAACAAAAGTAGACCGATCAAGATAAAACTTTGACAAAAATTTTTTTGATCTGTATTCCGCCATTCCAAGGTGAGCAGCTGGTCGAGAACTGCAAATCAAGTAGACACCTTTCTATTCATTTTGCTATCTTTGCGATGACTCCACATTTTAGTAGGTACAAGTTTGTGCCCTGGCGGAGTGATAAGTTTATTATAAAGTCATGAAACTATCTACCGATGTCAAGAACCATGTGCCCTTTAAAGAGGATGACACTTATACCAGGGGCGGATTTAGGCCGTCTTCTGGGTCTTCTAGAAGACGGTCAGATTTTCAAGTTTACATTGACGGGTATCCAATTTTTTCTGACGGAAGACGGTCAACAATTGAGGATGGACCAACAAAGATAATTGGGAAGACTGTCAGAAAATATTTCTGGATCCGCCCCTGCTTATACGACATGCCAAGTTGCAGGCCTAAATTAAAATAATCGGGCCATCTCTTTGCGTATGTTTCAAGAAAATCTTTTGGAACCAATCCAGATATTTATCTGAATCAACGTAACCAGAGGGAGAGCAACCGTGCACGGAGTTCAGAGGACCTTGGAACAAAGTTTCGTCGGCAGGTAAGCAACCCTCAAAAATAATCATGGGCGGCAGCAGATCCCCCATTGCATCGTCACGTTCCAAAACTGGTCGGAAGTACTGATCGACCTGTCGTAAGGAAAACTCTTTCCTTTCGCAGCTACAATATTTGTACTTGCCTGAGACGGAAAATACGTTTCATCACAGTTATAGATGCAACCTGGTTTTCCTTCAAGATTATGCTTTACAAGCGTATCATTTACAAAAAAAAAAAAACAAAAAAAAAAAAAAAAAAAAAAACAAAAAAAAAAAAAAACATCCGCAGCTGTTTTTGTGACATTACCGCTCGCCCTCTGAAAAAAAAAAAAGGAACTTCACCTTGTTAATGTAAAAACAAAATGACTCATATTTAAATCATGCTTTCTTATTTTCCTATAGCCGTTTTTATCGTTATCTAAAGACAACAATCATTTTCTAATTATTTTTTATTTATTTAGCATGTCTTTTATTTCACAATATTGCACCTATTTATCTGTCCCGGTTTTCTAACAGACAACTCGGGATGTCGATTCATAAACCTTTTCCACCAACCGTGTGACCCTGAAAAGCTCGTGTCCATATTTCTATTCTTTCCCACCGCCAGGGCAAATTTGCAGACCAAGGCTCCGTAACTCGAAAGCATCGGGAATATGTTGCGAATAGCGATATCACCTTCTATTTCGAGGCTATTAAATGGGGCGAGTAAATCCCGAGTTATGGAATAGAGACGCTTGCGCTCGGTCGCAAAATGCGATGCTTTCGAGTTACTGAGCCCAAGTCTTTAGTTAGGGGAAACCCCCAGTCGCTCATGATGAGGCAGTAGTCGACTAGAGCTGCCTGATCATCAGACTGACTGAGGGCCAACTTCCCAGGTACACCTTCCTTGAGAGCACCTGTGGTATAATGAAGAAAAAAAAGAGAAGAAGAAGAAGAAGAAGAAGAAGAAGATACAAGATAGAGACAGATGAAGTAAGAAGTTTTAAGGATAAAAACTTCCAGCAGAAGACGCATACCTACTTTATGATCAATAAGTTTAAGTGTAGCTATTTGGAATTTTTTTATTTTCATTGTCATCACAACAAAGATCAAACATGTATCATTTGTATACCTAAAATATGATTTAAATTGGTTGTCTTTAGCAATTCAAATATACGTACCGCTTCTGAGTCATCCCTTACGGCACTGACGGCAGCATGCAACCTCTCCGGATGGTACAATTTCCTCTTCGGCATGCTGAAATTCATCGTGCATGAACAAGGTCAGTAACGTTTTTTTCTCTCTCTCATAAAGTCCGATAATAAAAAGTCAACATGAAGCGTTATTTTGTGAGAACAAATTTATTTAAAGACACAAGTCGCGTGAGTCTAATAGCGCACGTACAGTGTAGCGTTCTCTAGCGGTTTCATGCCTATACGTCCCCGCACCAATACTTCCCCGCACCGATACTCCCCCGCAATTACAGATATACTGAGGGGAGTATCGGTGCGGGGAAGTATCGGTGTGGGGTCGTATCGATGCGCATACATGTAATACAAAAAAAATTACTAAGGGGAATTATCGGTGCTGGGGAGTATCCACATGACCCCTCTCTAGCGACAGTTTACAGTGCACAGAAAGCACCCACAGCGTTGCCAAACATTCAAGCCATTTTATGAGATCTTGGAATATTTCATCATGTTACTCTTGAAAGTGGATGCTTTGAAAATGATTTCAATTCAACGAGAACAAGAAACACAAACAATTTAAGAGACTAAACACATTACAATACTTCTATTGTAATTAGAATTAGAAAGGTATAGAATTAGAAAGAGGGACGTGTTTACGTCCACAGCGCTCAATGTATCTACTCGTAACCGATATGAAAATGTTAGAAATCGAGATTAGACACTGACAGTAACATATGCAGACAAAAGCGGACGGTAAATGACTTAAAAACCTGCTGGAATAAACGTTAGTTCATTAATATTGTTATCAAATTTGGGAGCAACGAACTTTCAAACGCTAACACTCATAGAGTGTCTGCATTTCGTGTTTGATACATTTAATCATTGTGGCAGACACTTGAAACTTAAGTGGAAACAGGGATTGTTTACGCTCTGCATGCTGGGTAAAAAGGGCAAACTTCAGGTTTTGTTCCATAATCCAGGGTCGTTCCGTAATGCAGGTCGGAGCCTATATAACCAAAAAACGTATATACAAGGGGCAAAAAAGTAGGTCACATAAGTAAGTTAAATTTCTGAGCAAAAGGAGCAGTCTAAAGCTGTTTTATGGCTGATCGAGTGATATATTCAGTTCAGTTTATCCCTTGGCACGTCGACTTTATTTGAGTATAAGAAAATAGCAGTAGTGGTTTATAAGCCCTGTGTTACTGGGAATCCACGCTTCACCGATGCTATGTTCATACACTTAGGCCCCTATGTACCTTTAAGATTATGGCTTTTAATGTGCAAATCTTCAGATCATTTCACAAAGAATTCGCTTTCTACAGTTACACATGTAGTACGCGAAAAAAGTACCTGTTTGTGAACAAGCACTTCCTTTCTGACATGCTCCTATTGTCTTTATCTATATATAGGCTCTCCAGTGCCACGGATCAAAACACATGCATTTAGCTGTCTAGACACACTACGAAAGAAAGAATACCCAACAGAATAACAGTCTTAACAAGGCACTGTGGGTGTACGGTATTTTAAAACATGGCCTTTTTACGTGTGGGTTTGGTATTTCTGTTGATGTATGTTGCTCACACTTGTAGTAGCGCTGGCAAACAGAAGATACTGATCTTTCCTTTTTCAAATGTCTATAACTCGAGGACCATGAATTTAGAGAAGATAGCTGTCATGTTGAGGGACCACGACTTTCACGTCACCATGTTGGTCTCTCACCACTATGCACCTAAAAGGAATATAGATGGCGTCAACTTGATCAGGTACAAAATGCCTGAACTACAAATCAATAAGGGAGGAGTATTGGACCTGAGTAGATCACTTTATTACATCGAGAAAGATGTGATGCCATTTTTTAGGCAAATAGATGAGATGGATTTTGCACTTTGCGAGGTTCTTCTTAGTAGCAAAGACATTTTGAATAGACTGGAAGAAGAAGAGTTTGATCTGTTTTTCTTTGACTTTGGCAATGTTGGCTCAGGTCCTATTTTGAATGAATATCTTGGCATTCCTTCCATTGCTTATTCTAATTTTGGATTTATGGAAACTTGGACTATATTCAAACAGCCAACGTTTTTTTCTTATACGCCTGGCATATACAGCTCCTTCTCCGATAACATGACATTTTGGGAAAGAGTGCAAAATACAGACATGATACTTGACATTGAAAGTTGGGCCAGCGATAGAATAGATCATATTGAAAAAATGAAGGCCAAGTACCTGCCCAACAACAACTGGCCACATGCTAAGCACTCATTTGAACGAGTGTCTCTAATGATTGCAGCCAACGTTAACTTTGCATTTGACTATCCGCGACCCGTCATGCCCCATGTGATACCAATTTCTGGACTTCTTTGGACACCGCCTAAGCCGTTATCAAATGACTTTGACAATATTGTATCTGCTGCTACTTATGGAGTCATTGTTATAAGTTTTGGGACATTTGTGCCGACATTTAATACTGAAAAGGCGGAGATTTTGGCCAAAGTGTTTTCTAAACTCTCACAGACTGTTATCTGGCGTTACCAAGGTGTTCCTCCTAAGTCTCTGGGAAGTAACACACACCTGGTAGAATGGCTGCCACAGAATGATCTTCTTGCCCACCCTAACACCAAACTGTTCATCACCCACTGTGGAGTAAGTAGCACGTGGGAGACCCTCTACCATGCAGTTCCCGTGGTTGCAATTCCACTTCTTTGGGATCAACACGTTCACGCAAGGAAATTGAAGGAGCGCGCGAGAATGGGTGAAATTATAAAGTTTGGCACCCTGAACGCAGAAGAATTAGAAAGCATTATACTCAAGGTCCTAAGCGATAAATCGTATAAAGAGAACGCGGTTAAGATGTCTAAACTTCTTCAAGACACCCCAATGTCGGGACAGGAGGAACTGTTGTATTGGATTAAGTATGTAATAAGACACAATGGAACTCTTCACTTTCACTCTCATGCTGCTTACAATCTGAACTGGTATCAGTATTACCTATTGGATGTTATTGCTTACAAAGCTGCAGCGAGATGTTTGTACTATTTCGTTTACCTTCTTCCAGTAGTAATTCTTTGGAAAGTACTTAAAGTTCTGTTCATTCGTGAAAAACCTAAACACGCCTGACTTCATTATTGCGCCCTTGAAAAGTAAAAGATTTAGAGGCCAAAACGTCATTTAAAATGATGAATCATTTAATCTGTACACTGTTAGCTCATTACCTGTATCAGAACGGGGCAGTTGAACTTGTTAGTTTCCTTTGAAAGAGCCTGAGCCAATAAAACAAATGAAATAATTAGTAAATAGATTAAAAATGAAGAATAATAAATATATTGACAATATATAAGAAATTAAACATCGACGGATTTATGTTTTATTCATTTGTCGTGTCAGTTACTTTACAAAATTTATACGTTTCTTAAAAGGAATCCAACGACGACCAAGGAAATTACTAAAATAACCGAAGACGGGCGCTGTGCGATGAAATTGTCCGTACCATTTTTTTTTAATCGTAAGGAGCTACGGGCTACGCCGAATATGTCTACATTACATGGCCTTAAATCCGAACGATGCGCATGTTAATCAAATCTTTAACATGGCAACTTATGATTACCTGGCTCTACGATGGTGACATTGGCCTCTAGCCTTGTCTTTATTATTTCTGCCAACCAATGATCGTCGGAAAAATTTTAAATTATTTAGTTATTTAAATTGGCAATTTAAATTATTAAAATATGATAATATCTTAAAGTGATAATAACTCTTCATTTCGGCCAAAAAATGAATTTTCCTGGAGTGAACAACAATTTTCTCATACTTACCAATGGTTAATGAATCCATTTTTACATTCAAAGTTAGTCCCTGGTTTTTTCTAAAAAGTTTGGTTTTTTGTTAAAATCTCTTAAGAGATTTTAACAGAGTATAGCCATCAATGGAGGTTACATCGTCTAAAGACAAGCTCAGATATCAGAATAATAGCTACAACTGCCATTTTTGTGGTAAAACAGAATATATTATATTTCTATGAATTATTCACAATGTTTTTATTGTGAAATATAGATCTCATATGAAGAGTTATTATCCCTTTAACATTCCACCTGGCACACAGTCAACTCAAGTGTCAGCAATATCGACAACAAGCTCTTGTCTTGCTTACATGCCATACTAATTTCGGTTTATATGCAATTTTTAGTTTGTCTACCTGTCTACCTGTGCACCTGAGGGAGACCAAATTCACCACGCTTCTTAAGAAAAGTATGCACTACAAGTGTTTTGTTTTTAATTTTTAATTGATCTTCTCTTTTCCTTTTAATTTACTTTGAAAGTGAAAATTCCTTAATAGTTTGATGTAATTTCACGTTTTTATGGCTAAATTCAAAAATAAGTCTTCAAAGAAAAATCCCAGGAACCCTTTTGTAGTACTTTGTTCAAGTGTTATAATACCATTTAAAGCATGGTTATAGCTGTCCAGGTGCCTTAGAAAATCAGGCAACTGAAAATGATGTTTTTGTCCCCAAAGTCCCCACATCTTGTCACACGATGAACTTGGAGCTGTGTTTCTGTGACGATGGTATTACTGATTACGCGAGGGAAAAACCAAACAACTTTCATGTTCCTTCATAGCCTTTATCATCACTTCCTAAATACCCTATCTACAATTTATTCCTCTCCGTTCAACCTCTTACATCGTTCTTCCCCGTTTACATTACATTCTGCAGTTGAGTACAACGAGGTCATGTCAACCAACTCGAGTTAATCTACAAAACACTCCCCGCTCCTTCACTCGTAGCTGTCGATTACTAACATTACTTTTCAATTAGATGTTCTGAAGATTATTAAATAAATGTAACAGGAATGAAAAAGCTAAAAGCTTTATTTTAATCTCCAACCTACTTCTCTCCCTTAAAACAAAACGTGCACTTGGCTCAGGGCAAGTTGGACCGTGTATAAGATAACCTTGTTATGGCTTTTCGAAACAACTTCAAACTGTTGAAGGAAACGTTTAGAAACATCAATATATGTGCCTCATATGGAGTACAAAGCAGACTCTCAAAATTAATATTAATTAAAATATATGAGTAAATGCGTTAAATATGTTTTTGCCCTTCACATGGATTACTACATTATTAAAGAATAGGGTGCCAACTTGCCCCAATCGAGGCAGTTTGCTCCATCTCGGGAAAAATTGGCCAACCTGACATTGCTGACATTCGGTAGAAGATGGTAAATTTATGGGAAATAAACGAACGACACCATTTGTATTCAAAGCTGATGCAATTATTTAAAGCTGAGACACAAAAGCATATCAGAAATCTTTATTTTAATTAGTAAAGGCTACGAGGGACGTTGTGGCAATACTATACCTATAGGTAAATAAAATTTTGAGTAATTTTTATTTTGAAAATGGTATCGTTTCTGCTTCAAGTGGAAAATTCGTATAATCAAGATGTTGCTTTTGTCCTTCATTGCTTCCTTTTGAGACTCTTGTAATAAAATCCATCCCAGCAAACACAGCAAGTCATTATAACGTTACCATTACTTTTACATAACCCCCAAAACGTTATAAACCTTCTGTGTTTGCCGGGAGCCAAATTGACTCCTGTGTGCTTGGGTATGGACGGGAAATAGGTTTGAAATAGGTCCATGTGGATTAATAGTCGTTTATAAAACCTAATTAGGTTCCAGTCATTCCCACTTAAGCTTATGGCTTTCAACATGCAAATCTTGATATTATTTCACAAAGAGTTCGCATTCCAAAGTTAGCGTGAAAAAAAGTATCTGTTTGTGAACAAGCAGTTCCTTTTATGACATGGGCCCCTTATCTTTATCTATACAGGCTCTCCAATACCACGCATTAAAACACATGCATGTAGCCGTCTCAGCACACTCCACAAAAGGAAGAATACCCCATCGGAATAACCGTCTATCAAGGTATTGTGGGTGTGCGGTATTTTCAAACATGCCCTTTTTTCGTGTAGGTTTGGCATTTCTATTGCTGTTTGTTGGTTACTCTTGTAGTAGCGCTGGCAAACAGAAGATACTGATTTTTCCTTTTTCAAATATCTATAACTCGAGGACCATGAATTTAGAGAAGATCGCTGTCATGTTGAGGGACCACGACTTTCACGTCACCATGTTGGTCTCTCACCACTATGCACCTAAAAGGAATATAGATGGCGTCAACTTGATCAGGTACAAAATGCCTGAACTACAAATCAATAAGGGAGGAGAATTAGACCTGAATAGATCACTTCATTACATCGAGAAAGATGTAATGCCATTTCTTAGGCAAATAGATGAGATGGATTTTACACTCTGCGAGGTTCTTCTTAGTAGCAATAACCTATTGGACAGGCTAAGAGACGAAAAGTTTGATCTATTATTCTTCGACTTTGCCAACGTTGGCTCAGGGCCAATTATAAATGAATACCTTGGCATTCCATCCATTTCGTATTCAAATTGGGGATTTATGGAAACTTGGACTATATTCAAACAACCGACGTTTTATTCTTTTACAGCAGGCGTTTTCAGCCCATTTTCCGATAATATGACATTTTGGGAAAGAGTGCAAAACACTGATATCCTTCTGGGTATGGAAAATGGGCCAGCGATAGAATAGATCATATTGAAAAAATGAAGGCCAAGTACCTGCCAAACAACAACTGGCCACATGCAAAGCACTCATTTGAACGAGTGTCTCTAATGATTGCCGCCAACGTCAACTTTGCATTTGACTACCCGCGACCTGTCATGCCCCATGTGATACCAATTTCTGGACTTCTTTGGACACCGCCTAAGCCGTTATCAAAAGACTTTGAGAATATTGTATCTGCTGCCACTAATGGAGTTATTGTTATGAGTTTTGGCACAGTTGTGCCGACGTTCAGTATTGAAAAGGCAGAGATTTTTGCCAAAGTGTTTTCCAAACTCTCACAGACTGTTATCTGGCGTTACCAAGGTGTTCCTCCTAAGTCTCTGGGAAGTAACACACACCTGGTAGAATGGCTGCCACAGAATGATCTTCTTGCCCATCCTAACACCAAACTGTTCATCACCCACTGTGGAGTAAGCAGCACTTGGGAGACGCTGTACCATGCAGTTCCCGTGGTTGCAATTCCACTTCTTTGGGATCAACATGTCCACGCAAGGAAATTGAAGGGGCGCGCAAAAATGGGTGAAATTATACACTTTGGCACCCTGAACGAACAAATTTAGAAAGCGCTATTCTCAAGGTCCTAAGTGATAAATCGTATAAAGAGAACGCGGTTAAGATGTCTAAACTTCTACAAGACACCCCAATGTCGGGACAGGAGGAACTGTTGTATTGGATTAAGTATGTAATACGACACAATGGAACTCTTCACTTCCACTCTCATGCTGCCTACAATCTGAACTGGTGTCAGTATTATCTATTGGATGTCATTGCTTACAAAGCTGCGGCGAGATGTTTGCATTATTTCGTTTACCTTCTTCCAGTAGTAATTCTTTGGAAAGCACTTAAAGTTCTGTTCATTCGTGAAAAACCTAAACACGCCTGACTTCATTATTGCGCCCTTGAAAAGTAAAAGATTTAGAGGCCAAAACGTCATTTAAAATGATGAATCATTTAGTCTGCACATCACTGTTAGCCCATTACCTGTATCAGAACGGGGCAGTTGAACTTGTTAGTTTCATTTGAGAGAGACTGAGCTAATAAATTATTAACATAATTAGTAAATAGATTGAAAATGAGAAGAATGAAGATGTTGATAATACGTTAGCAATTAAACATCGGTGGATTTTCATTTATTCATTTGTCGTGTCAGTTAGTGCACAGAATTTAAACATTTCTTAAAATGAAGCCAACGAAGACCAAGAAAATTACTAGAATAACCGAAGACATATTAGGGTAACCGTCAAATTTGAAATGTTACATGATACATTCAAGCACCTCTGTCATTGCCATACAATTTGTGATATTTTTTAACAAAAGAAGAACGACCAAGATAAAACTTTGACAAAAAAAAAAAAAAAAAAATGATAGAGCAAATTTTTTATCTGTATTCCGCCATTCCAAGGTGAGCAGCTGGTTGAGAACTGCAAATCAAGTAGACACCTTTCTATTCATTCTGCTATCTTTGCGATGACTCCACATTTTAGTAGGTACAAGTTTGTGCCCTGGCGGAGTGATAAGTTTATTATAAAGTCATGAAACTATCTACCGATGTCAATAACCATGTGCCCTTTAACGAGGATGACACTTATACGATATGCCAAGTTGCAGAACGCGGTTAAGATGTCTAAACTTCTACAAGACACCCCAATGTCGGGACAGGAAGAACTGTTGTATTGGATTAAGTATGTAATACGACACAATGGAACTCTTCACTTCACTCTCAGGCTGCTTACGGTCTGAACTGGTATCAATATTATCTATTGGATGTCATTGCTTACAAAGCTGTAGTGAGTTGTTTGTATTATTTCTTTTACCTTCTTCCAGTAGTAATACTTTGGAAAGCACTTAAAGTTCTGTTCATTCGTGAAAAACTTAAAAATGCCTGACTTCATTATTGTACCCTTGAAAAGTAAAAGATTCGGAGGCGAGAACATCATTTAAAATGATACAGCATTTAGTCTGTACAACACTGTTTGCTCATTATCTTTATCAGAACGGGGCAGTTGCACTTGTTAGTTTCCTTGGAGAGAGCCTAAGCCAATAAAATTAATGAAATATTAAGTAAATAGAATGAAAATGAAGAAGATAAAGATGTTGACAATATATAAGAAATTTAACATCGACGGATTTATGTTTTATTCATTTGTCGTGTCAGTTACTATTCAGAATTTAAACCTCTCTTAAAATTTATCCAACGAAGACCAAGGAGATTGCTAAAATAACTGAAGACATTTGAGGGCAACCTTGAAAGATAACGTCATATATGTAATGTTGTACATGTAATATGGCACCTCTGTCATTGCCATATTATTTTTGATATTTTTATCAAAAGTAGAATCGTCATGATTTAACCTTGATAAAAAAATTGATATCTTAAAAATCAGGAGCGTGAGCAGACCTTTAATCTGCATTCCGTCATTTTAAGGAAAACGGCAAATAAAGTCGATACCTTTTCCATTTACTCTGTTATCTATGCGAATACTCCACATTTCAGTAGGTGCTTGTGCCCTGGCGGGGTGATAAGTTTACTATAAAAGTCTAGATTACATTTACACGGGCGACGTGTGATGAAATTGTCCGTGCCATTTTTTTTTTAATCGTAAGGAGCTACTGGCTACGCCGAGTATGTCTACATTATATGGCCTTAAATCCGATTTCGCACGGCCACTGTCTCCCTCCGCTCAGACGCCGCAAAAAAGGGTATTACGGGCAGTATAAAGGCCTACCCAACTACCAGACCCGGCACCGAATGATCCTGAATTCCCCGATATAACGGACCACACTATCCGTTTTCAAGGTGTGTGTCAGTACACGCTTCGAAGCATTAGTCACGACACCGCTCTTGCCTAGTACGCGATGTGATAGAGATGATTCTCAGCGGGGTTTGAATGTAGTGCATCTCATCTCAAAATTTGTTCTGGGGTATGATACTGTGAAATGCGTACTGACACACACCTTGAAACGGATAGTGTGGTCCGGGATCATTTGGGATCATTCGGTGCCGAGTCGGGTATACGTGCACCATACTATACGGGCATCGCATATCAAATGTAATCTAGGGTAAAGTCATGAAACTATCTGCCGATGTCAAGAACCATGTGCCCTTTTAAGAGGAGGGCACTTATACGATACGCCAAGTTGCAGGCACGCGGAGAGCCTTGGTTAGTCTAGGTGTGTGGGGCAGTGTGTATGCGCGTGCGCGCGCGCGCGCGCGCGCGTGTGCCTTTGCTCCGCAATTGCAATTATTTTAGTGAACATTACTCCGTTAAAATAATTATCTGTTCTCCTGAAGAGTGATTTTCATTCAGTGAAACTCAGTGAAAGCCGAGCTTTAACATAGGTGAAAAACTATAACGACTGTTTAGGGTAATCATCTGTATACATTTAAAGAAACTTTACTGTTTTTCTTTTTATTTTTACGAGTTTTTCCTAATCTTATCTGTGATTTACTTATTTTGAGATCCCAATTGCAAGTTGTTTGTTAACGCTCACGAAACTTCAACATCAAATTAATTCACGGCAACACCTCATGGAGCACCAGGGCAAGGAGTAGCATTACAGAAAAGTGATTATATAACTAAATATTTATGTGAAATGTGAAATGTAAAATTCCGCTGCTTTTTACCTGTGAAAGCAACCGTCATACTATCGATCAATCTTCGACAACAGCTCTATGCAGTCGTCAGATGTATAGGTCTATGCAACTTGGGCCATCTGGCCTAGCATCGTGGCGCATGGTAATCAAATCTTTAAAGGGATAATAACTCTTCGTTTTGGCCAAAAAAATTAATTTTCCTGGAGTAAACAACAATTTTCCCATACATACTAATTGTTAATGAATCCATTTTTACATTCAAAGTTAGTCCCTGGTTTTTTTTCTAAAAAGTTTGTTTTTTTGTTAAAAACTCTTAAGAGATTATAACAGAGTATAGCCATCAATGAAGGTCACGTGATCTGAAGACAAGCTCAGATATCAGAATAATAGCTATAACTGCTGTTTTCGTCGTAAAACAGAATATATTATATTTCTATGAGTTATTCACAATGTTTTTATTGTGAAATGTAGATTTCATACGAAGAGTTATTATCCCTTTAACATGGCAACTTATGATTACCTAGCTCTACGATGGTGACATTGGCCTCTAGCCCTGTCTTTTCTGCTTGCCAATGATCGTCGGAAATTTTGCTATGATAATATCTTAACATTCCATCTGACACGCAGTCAACTCCAAGTGTCTGGAATATCGACATCAAGCTCTAGTCTTGCGTACATGCCATACTAATTTCGGCTTATATGCAATTAGTAGTTTGTGCATCATTAACAGTAAAATGTCCTGCTTACGTTACGGCCTATCTGGAATTATCAGGTTAGGTATCATTAAAAATTAACGACCTGATAATATCGTCCAGTTTCAACTGACGTCCAGTCCACTCAAGTGTGTTATATAAATAGCAGCACGCGCAATTACAATTCATTAGTTTTAACGTTGGTATAAGCATAACACGCTGTCGATATGGGTAAAAGAAAGAGAAAAGTAAAAACTGAATTTCCACAATAACGCAAGAGAATTTTAAGTGAAAGTCAAAGATGTGGATGGGGAAGGCCAAAGTACCGAAAGGTGCAAGCGCTAGGCAACGGAAGGAAGCAGACGTCGTTTACGAGGGCGACGAAGAAGAAGTTGTCACACCTGAGCGGGAGGGATGTCGAATTAAGCACTGCAGTTAGCTGCAACAAAGCGCCAGTGCGACCTGTGCTTGCTGCATTTGTGGGGGTGAGGTATGGCTGAACAGAATCCTGACAGAGAATCCACAGAATGCTGGTATACCGTGAGGAACAATTCTGGATGCATGTATGCACTTTTGAGGCCGACATGTTGTCTTTTTTAGATTAGATTAGCGTTGATTTCCGATTCAGGTTCCTACTGGATCCTCTTTTTTCTTCAATAATTATCCCAGAATTTTTTCTGACTCACCCAACTTTAGACATTTCACCTAACAAGCCCTTCCTGGTTGCACCTATTTCTTGTTTCTGATGGTTAGATCGGCGTCCTGTAACACGACCATGTTTTCGAACCATATTTCTCTCGGCAACTGTAGACAAGACGGCCTGCGATGACGCTAAATAGCATCCTAGAGCGCTTCCCTGACACTTGGTCCGGCGTCCATTGAGTCATTAGGGCTTACTTGATTGCCTGTCAACTATTCTGGCAATATATGCTACCGGTAACTCCTTGAAGTTACTAACAGGTGGTGAGATTGATACAAATATAAGATTTCTGACATCCAAATGCATGCAAACGAGCTCATTTCAATGGGCAATAGAGGACCCATCTTTGCGATCGTCAGTCACCCTGAGCTTCAGAGATAACTTGACACTAACCTCTTCACTATAGCCTATCTTCATCGTGTCAAGTTACCTCTGACCACATCTAATAGCCCCCGCCGCCCGCCAATCAAATTTAAAGCCCGCACTCAATGACTCATTGAACGATTTAGCCAATGAACGCGAACGAGTCAAAGCGCGCTTTGATCAAATCCGGACCAATCAAAGATAAGGCTGAATATCAGGGACTTGCCGTAACCTGTGGGCAGCACG